CGACCAGGAAGGGAAAAGAAAAGAAAGAAGAAGACGAAGAATAAGCCCCAATGCCACGTCACTTCTCTGACCACGTCGGAGGCGGTCAAACTGACGTGGACGTCTCTGACTGGCGGAACGATGGCGAAATCTGACGGTGCACGATGATGATGTGTCAGGGCGAAAGGCGGGGGGTGGGGTTTGATACGCTGACTTGGCCCTCCACCGTGGCGCTTCCATCGAGCAGGCATCGATTCCCGCGGGTTCCAATCCAGTGTGTCGAATATTTGAATGATCCCTTTGCCTCACCCCCTTTGCTTTGCGGCGAGTTCCGATTCTGCTTGCACCCGAGAGCGGCGCATCTTCGAATATTCTATTCGGGTCGATAGATTCATCCTTCGTCCACTCCTACTCCTACCTGGGAACGTTCATTGCATGTGGAACTGAGTTCATCCTCCATTTGATTCTTGAAAATCATCCATTTGGATGGATTTTGTAATAATCCATCCAATTTTACATTCAATATTGTTTTGCTTCAATCTCATGAAGATAAAATGAACATAAATTATCTTCATAACCATGGATTTTTCTTCCTTTTTTTCTTTTTTTTCTTTCTTATTGATGTAGAAGTATTAGTTTTTACAAATCATAAGAATTGTTTTTAATAAAAATTGAAAAGAAGCAAAGGAATGAAAAAAGAAACAAGACTTAAGGATTATGGTAGAAAAACTTAGATAGTAATTTATACTTCTTCATTATTTTTAGTAGAAAGACTCATATTTTAATTTAATCTAATTTAATAATAATAATAATAATATATTAATCTACTTTTTAAAGTATTTAGCACAATAAAGTATGTGTTACATTTAAATAATGGTTAAAAAAGTCTATTGTTCTTGCTTTAAATGTCAATAATTTATAGATAATTAAATAAGTGATTTTAATCCATCTTGAAAAAAAAGCATAAATTACAAAAGCTTAAATAATATTATATAATTATAGATGGTTTAAGTCTTTGGATTTAGTTCTTTCAGATACTACTACAAAGAAAAGTATTGATACGAAGACTAAAAGTAGTAGATTTTGAAAGATCATCTTTGTTAATTGTAGTCCTTTCATACACATCACAAGAAAGTTATACTAATTTCTTAAAACCTCTATTACAACTTGAATATTCTAAAAGTAGTTTATATATAACTTAATTTTAGTTAATAAATCTTAAGTAATATTTAGTACATTGCTATTATTTGATATACTAATATATATATATATATATATATATATATATACATATATATATATATAGTAAAAATACATATTTATATTACTATATATATATATTTTTTACTATATATATAGTAGAAACACATATTTTGAACTAATACTATTGAGATTTTATAAATTTAATGTTGCTAAAAAGATTAATGCAACTTTTTAAGTTTAATCATATTAAATTTATTATAAAAGTAAATTTTTAAAAAATTAAAAGTTAAAAATCACATGACCATTCAAAATTGAATGAAAAAAAACTCTTTTAATAGTATTTTTAATAAAGTTAAATGTTGATAAATTAAATTAAAATAAAACTATCAAAACACACACACACACACACACACATATATATATATATATATATATATATATATAAAGGTGTTTAGTTTTAAAAAATAATCTTATTTGTGAAAGATGTATATTTATGAATTTCTAAGAATAGTAAGAATATAAATTATTTGAAATTAGATGTATTAAAAAAATACTATAAGTCATATATATATATATATATAAGGTTAGTCCTTGTTATAGTCAATTTCTTGGGACATAGCAATTACTGACTATATAGTACAATGTGATGTAGGTGGTACAAATTGGGGTAGGTAAATAGATTTATTATTATCCAAAGTTGATTTTAACAAGGTTGATTATAACAAAAGCTAATTGTAATTATATGATAAAAAAGAATATTGATATACTTTATGGTCTAAATATTTACACAAAAAATTTATAATTTATAGTTATAATAATTATACCAAACCAAAAAATAAAATACACATGTAAAAGAATAATAATAATAATAATAATAATAATAATACATGTATTTATATATATATATATATACATACATACACATGAATATTACATGTATTTTTAGCTAATGATGACATCAAACAACAAAACAAACAAATAAAGAAGAAGGGAAGATGCATGTATATCTTATGGTGTCTATTTTTAATTGGTTAAGATTAAGAAATAATAAGTAATAGTTTGTTCTATTACTAAAATGGAAGAAAGTATTAAGATCAATAACGAAAAAAAACTAATAGGTTTAATATATATATATATATATATATATATATTTTATTGTGCATGTGACTTTCTTTTCTTTGAATGTATAAAACTATAAAAAAATAAAAAATAAAAAATGACACTAAATTTACATGTAATATTTAAAGAGCATGTGTAAAATAATAAGATAATATTATTATCATGAACAAAGGTACAAGATTGTACGCATGAAATAAATCCACAATTCTAATATTATGTTTACTATAGTTTTAAATTGTTTTATATTTTTTTCCTAATTTTGATGGAATTATTGTTAGTTTCCTAAAATTAATAAAAAAGAATTGAAACCACATAATTAGAAAGAAAAAATGATATATAATGGAGTCTTCTACTAAGAAGATTATGAACTATAAAATAGCCACTAGAAGCTACCAGCTTATGATTAAAAAAAACCAGGTAGCAAAAGAAACATGGTATAATTTTACTTATAGCAAAAAATATTAGTGTAAGTATTAAATATTTTTTATTTGGTGGAGCAATAAGATTTATTTTGTGAAAAGACAAAAAAAAAAAAAAAAAAAAAAAAAAAAAAAAAAAAAAAAAAACCTTTTTCAAGTTTGTTTTAAAGTTGAAATTAAAAGGATCTTATTAAACTTTAGAATAATAAAAGAAAAGTTTAAAAGTTCTAAATGGAAATTCAAAGGGTTTTATTAGTTTTTGTGATATGATAGAATAGATTAATTTTTTAAAGAAGTTAAGTTTCTAACATACCTTATATATATATATATATATATATATATATATATATATATATATATATATATATATATATGTATTTCTAACATTTAATGTTATAAAATTTTGTTAACATTGGAGGAATTTGTCTTTGCTAAATTTTACATTCAATACTATATATTTAATATGTATATATATATATATATATATATATATATAAACCTATTAGATACTTGGTTCAGATATTCTGTTCTTGTACTAAAAATCTTAAAAAAGGAATGAACTTAATGAGTAAAAACTAATTGTTTTAAAAAAATAAAAGCAATTGTTACTTTAGCTTCTAAAGTCCAAATTCTTGTTTTCACTAATTTTTTATATTGATTTAAGTTTTAGTCTTGATGTTTTTAAATTGATTACTTATAAGATTATTTATTTTAAATTTAAAAACCTTATAAATAATTATTTAATTAATAACAACTACAATCTGGGTAGTAATTATTATCATTCTTTTAGATTTTTACACAAAATTATTTTAAAAATTAATATTTTATTTTCCTCTTGTGGAAAAATTACAAAAATGTTTTTATATGAGTGTTCCGTCACCCTGGAGATCCAGCAATTGTTACCATACAGAATAGGATCTATATAATTGCGATGTATCAGACATCATTCGAGACACCTGGGAAGATGCACGAACATATAATCTCTTGAGGATTCGATGCGGTTTTAAGAGGCCGGCGTTGAAATAAGCGTTGAAGTAGACATTGCTGAAGGACTCGAAATTATCACCGAAAGTCACAAAAGTGGATCAGGAACAATCTCAATAGAAATTTACCGTGCTTGTCAATGATCCAGCTTCTTGTACCCGCTCTTGAGTGCGGTAACGCTCACGTCGTTGTGGCCGATACTCATGAAGAAGCTCGACTTTTTGTTGCTGGCAGTGCCAAGTGCACCGTAAGTCAATTCCGCATAGCCATTCTTGATCCGCGGTGGTGACAACCTTCTCAAGGTGGTTACCAGACGGGTTGATGTCACTAGTACTACCGTCGTTGCGACTGATAGCTTGACAGATCTTCTGCGAAAATTTTAGTTGCTCTCCTTCCGGACGCTGCACCTTGATGTCAATTCAACTCACACGTACTTTATTTTCAAAAAGAGTATCCTGATTACTATCTGACCTAAACACCCCAATAGATCTCACATTAGCATTGACTATCGTGCACAAAGATCCTAAACGAACTGATTAACTTCGAAGACATAATATGATTTTTGAGGAATCAATGACAGCTAGGTATTATGATTATGCCATTCGCGAAAGAATTAGAAACTCTGATGGACGTTTTCATGCTCTTTGAACCGCAATCGTCGATTCTTCTTGTCACACGAATCAAACAAAACTTACCAGTAGCCGTCATAGCTTCATCATACTATATGCAGGTGGTCACACGCTTTGCAGTGGCAACTAAGCCCGCAAGTCATCTATCCAATGTCATAAGAATTTCATTTCAAACCGTCGATGCTATGTCCTATCTCCTCTTCATCCTTCACTCCTCTGTGCTTATCAGAAGACTCCACCTATTCCTCCATTTTAGGCTATTTCCATGACTTCGCGGAAAACTACTATCAAAGTAAATACTCTACGATTCAAGCCAAGAAAATATCAAGAGCTTAACACAGCGAGGGAGACTGGTTTTGATTGCGGCGCTTGGCGTTAAGTAATCTTGGCAATTTAACTAGCTGAGTCATATGGAGGCACTTCCTGGTGTAATTTATCCATCCATAACACCATGTACTCTCTGTGAAAAATATGCGCAGTTTGTGGAGGTGCTGGATAAAGAAGCTGTTTCCGGAAATTTCTTACTTACGTGACTTGCGGGAGTTCAAGATCACAGGGGGAGCTTGGTCCAACTGTACCATCTATTCGAGGAGAGGCGGAGACGGAGGACAGTAATACGTTGAACAAGCGACAGTGTTTGTAACACAGAAGCGTCTGAGATACTAGGTCTGAGATTTTTCCTTCCGCATCCTTTATTATTTGAAGGTGTATCTGAATTCTTAAAAGACGGCTGTATGTCAAAAAAGTGGCCCTGGAGGTGTCGAACACGATCGACTTGGGAATCGGATCCCTCGGATCGGAAATCAGTCAGTGAGATACGTTCGTGAAACGTCCCTTGAACAAAAATAAAAAGGCAGCACTCATGTATCAAAACAAATAGGTTTTCTGTTTCGCTAGTTTTCTGCGTCTTGCCACAGGATTGAAGGGACCGTCTCTACATGTTTTGAGTTTTGATTTGTTTTGATAATGACTCAAAATTATGTAAAATTCTGCAATAAGATCTGCAGAGTTCAGGTCTGACACAATCTTTTCTGTCTGATGCAGGTAAAAAAGATCCAGTAACGGTATTCGTGATCTTTATTTAAATTGTAATTAGCTGAACAGAAATTGACACCGATGTCCAGTTCATATGAGCCTGTTGTGTGGCCTCAGCGTGCAGTTGTTTGGAACTGGTCGAAGTATTCGGGTGAAATCTGGTACATGTGGTTCTTTAAGTGCTCAAGTTGAGCTCTGCAATATTGGTCAATTTCCACATTTGATTAGGTCTACATGTTACGCAAACCAAGAAGAGACATGCTTATTCGGTCATCACTGCATTGTAAATGAAGCCAGGCAGGTTTCATTGAGATGACTGAATACTTACTCTTTGTGCTTTTCTTGGCTCCTCACCACCATCTCTCTTTCGATCTTTTTATCCCGTTCAAAGAGTTGCCCTTTGATCTGTTGCACGATGCAGATGGGTGAGCAGCATAAAAATGAAGTAAAAGCCACTTCGTATGATTTTAAAGAAAAATCGGGAATGAAATTGAGATTAATGCAGATTTACATTTTCTTCCATAAGACGCAACTGTTTTCGATTCTGAATGTCCTTTTGAATCCAGTCAATTCTCTCTTTCGACTCCTGTTGTTTCTTCTCCATAGCTTGTTGTTCTTGCCATAACCGTGTGTGATTCACAGACAACTGGATTGCTGTGCTCTTCTGCGGTTCGAATTCTTGATCGTCATAGCGAAGCTTGTCGAAAGGTCCGATCTGGAATCACCCGCTCCAAAACGACTATGCGTTAGCGATACCATTGTCTCCATTGCGAGTATGCAGGCCATATCACATATCTAAACAACTTGATGAATAGAAACACCATTCAGAAACGCAAAAGTTCGGCCCTTAACACACTGGTTCGGTGTGTACTTGCCCTATCATTCACAGAGAGGAGGTGCATTTTCTCGTCCACTTCTCTTTGTACCCTGCACTTCCGCTGCTCTTGCCAGTACTGCTCATACTCCTGATTGCAAATCTTCTTTTCCGCTCTATTGAGAAAGACGAAGACTAACCTTTGTTAGTCCTAAGAAATTCAAAGTCACTCCAGAAACAGGAATGTAGCAATAGATGGATAAAGTTGTCTACTCGAGAACTTCTTCAGCTTTCTTCATAGACTCGATTTTTTTAATCTCCCATTTCTCTGCAGTCACAGAGAACCAAATTCAGTCATTTCAGACTTCGAAAATGATGGCTCCGAAATTCTGTATGAATTTCTTATTAAATATGTGAAGACTCGAGACAACACACCGAACTGTTCCTTCGCTTTCTCTTGTTTGGTTCGGTACTCAATTTCGTCTTTCACTTGCTTATCCAGAGCCTCCTTGTCCACCTGGTGAGTGACCAAAATCATGAACACTCTTTTGAAAGCAATAGATTGGCAAAGACACTCGTGAAATGGAACCTAATTAAATGCAGTGGTGAGTGTGGTCATTACCGCAATGTCATACTTAGAGTTTCCAAGTATCCTCCTCCTCCTTTCTTCCATGTCAAACTTGCGTACCCGAGAAAACTCCCGTGTGCCGAGCACGGCATACGGACTGGATCCAGACATCCCTGCCATCCCGGAATCAGGATGTATTTCACCGATCAAAGAAGTCTTCAAATCTTTTAATACATGAACAAGCGCCGACGTTCACGTCCGCTTCCGACCATGTCAGCTCATCACAAGTTGTGAAACGGTTTGATTCATGTGGCCACACTCAGCACGCGAAAGTTCTCATCAGTCATGCACACATCCACATTGGTAGGCCAACCCGGATGAAGTTGAAGGCCCCGAACAATCCTCCAAGTGCCTCCATTCTCGACGCAGCATCAATTATGCTGCAAGTAGTATTTGTATCCATCAAGGGTTAAGCTAATGATGGATCTCGAACCAACATGGACGGCAAAATATAACCGAGACCGCAGGATTACAAGTCGCGTGACGAGGAAGCTCGCCGCGGAAAAGGAAGGAGACGAAGAGTAGCAGTTAAAACTGGTTAACATTCAGCTTTCTCCTGCGTACATCTCTGTTTTTCCCTAACGCAGTTCCTCTAACCGACGGCCGCAGCTTTCTGTCCCTTGAGTAGACCAAGAGGCTCTGTGTCGTTATGTGCTAGAATAGCAAATGTGGATTAAGGTCTCGAAAGCGTGGAAGTTCCTTGCGATCGAAGAGGGAGTTCGTTGCGATTGGTCCACCTGGTCGGTCCATATCTATTCAGCTTCCGCGACACCGGAGCTACGAATATGCACACTCGTTCATCGCTTGTTGTTCAAACTTCATCCTTGTCCTTGCTGAGTAAATGTTATCGCACTTCCTCAATTCATCTTTAAAACAATTTTATTATAATTCAATGTTTGTGCATGAATTTTTATTTTTATTTGATTTAAATGAAAATAATCTTGGGTAACATTGAAATTAAGAATTTAAAAATACCTTAAGAAGGAAATATGTTGCAAAATATGAAGAGGTTCTAAAACTTATTGCCAAATTAATTTTAAAAAGTATCCAATCTAAAACTTAATACGTATCAAGTCGTTTAAACTTAATTTTTAATAGAAATTAATAAAATCATAATGATAATATTAATAATAAAACATCATGGATTGTTAAATTGTTAATAAGTATAAGTGCATATGTCTTATGAAGTGGACAAGTTATGTTATGTTTGTTCGTTCTAAAGAAAAATAAAATAAAATAAATAAAATACAATACAATACAATACAATAAAAATATTATTCGGACATTAGGTTCCTGATACCATCTAACTTTGAATTCATTTTGAAAAAATTTAGCTAACAAAAATTAATATTTTATTGTTAGTTTGCTAAAAAATCATTTGAATGAGCTATTATTTGATCTTTTGTACAAATCAGTACACTAGGATACAATTGTTAAAAGGACAATCAACTGATCAATCAATTCAAAAGCCATCATTTTTTCACACTTGTCCATAATATCGTGCTCTTCGATAAGCTCAAAACTAATGATTTTGTTGTGAAGACCGATATTTTATTTTTGTACAATGATTTTTTTAAAATATTTAAATTTACTCAGTACGCTTCTGTGTTGTGTTATTATTGTTATTATTGTTAAGTAGTATTAATCTATTTTTTAAAAAAAATAACATGAACAGAATGTGTTACCAAGTCATCAACCAACCCATTGTAGCAAAAGAAAAAGAAGCAAACTCAAATAATACCACACTGACACAATGTCCAGACTTTGGCCTTAAAGTCTGCATCGAAAGTCTGGGGTTCGTTGCAGATACCCGGTCTAGATCAGGATACCCTGCCACCACTGGTCGAGCACAGTTATATTCCTGAACACGCCAGCCCTGGTCCCAGAACGTTAACTCCAACGTTCCCAATGCTCTCTGTCCACCTTAGGTTGCTCATTCTTACCTTTACATGGACTGAGCTCAGGGTTAACAGTTACGTGTAGGCAGTCGAGTTGAGTGAGAACGGGATATTCTTCTGGGAACGTGTTCCTTATCTCTACAGTAGAGGGGAAAGCATTGGATGCTATAAATGTGCTTTCTAGATTCTGGCGTAGGCTTGGACCCCCCCCCCATTGACTGTGTAATGGTGACGTGTCGCACCCCACCTTTCCCCAATTCTGGCTTTCTTAACTGTCAAATTTTACTTGTGTGTGAGAATATACGTTTATATGTGTAATGTGAATAAAATTGTATATATATATATATGTATATATACATATTTGTTGAATCAACACACCTTTTTGCAAAATCAACCCATTGCGTGATGTTTGCGCTTGTTTAATTGCTGAAAATGATTTTCTTTCAAGTCCCACCATAGTGCTCATCCAATATCAGTAGCAGTTTGTGAAGGTCTACAGCCAGAAAAAACACACAGTTGTAAAAAAACAATGGGAACGCATGACGGTTACACCAATTGTCACATGATGGGTCAATTTAACGATTGCTTGTATATATACATAGGAAATAATTTTCAAGGAAATCGTATTAATTACTTTAGGGAGATATCACTTGATTCCAAAAAAAATAAAATAAAATAAATTACAAATTTGGAAGTTTCAGTCTGTAAATAATGGACGGTGTCCAAGAATGAGCACCTCGATTATTATGCTAAAGAGAATCCGAATCTTCAACAGCCGGGGCCACCTATTGCTGCGGATTCTGATTCCACGGAAAAGGGAAACATTAGCCGAAAAGATTCTTGCACATCGAACGGCTGGAAGAGATTTTGAGCACGGTAGGAAGCCTAGATGGGAGGTGGCGGCAGCTCATCGGGTTGGGCTGAGTCAGCAATCCTCGTCACGCCGTGCTTGGTTAGAACCGAGTCTATGCTTGTTTGACTTGGAAATTGGAACTGGCTTGCATGGAAGAGGAAACGTGAGCAGCTTGAAGGCTCTTCATTTTGGATGAACGACATTCGTCCAGAACGAAAGAGGGTGTGCATAAATACACCCAAAGCCAATCTCAAAAATTTGCATTCTCAGTGTGGTACGTAACTTGTTTTCTTTTCAAAAATATGCTGGAGACAAATATTTGTGAATTCGTGTCAGGGAAAGTTTTAAGGATAAATATAACAAAAATTAATTCTTGAATGAAAATGATGAGATTACATAGAATATATATATAGGAAAATGTTAAATAGACCCACCCTTAATGAAGAATATGGTAATCTTGATGAATGTGGTTAGTTTTTATTGGTTGCAGATCCAATAGTAGAGAAATAAATTTATCATTTTATTTTTTATGATTATTTTTAAAATTTTTAAATCTTTGTTAGGATGGGTAGATCAATTCAGTACAAACTTAGGTCTATTTGGCACTCCCCAATATATATATATATTTCCTATGGAAGTATGGAGTTGTACTTTTGTATATATCTCTTAGTAATTTTTTCTTATTTCGGTTTTCATTTTTTTCACCAATTGTCTACTTGTACTTATTTATCCAACTTGATTGGAGATCAAAAAATAATTTAGTTAAAAAGCCATTTATAACTTTTTGCAACAAAAGATTTATTTTATTTATTCTCATATGAATACCATTATGCTTTTCATGCCTATCTACATTACTTTAAAAAACAAACTCAATAAAAGTATCATGTCACAGAAGAAACCATACAGTTTTCAGTTATTAAACTCGAACATAACATTTGAATCCAAAAAGCTATAAAGAGAGAGTTGTGGATTAACTAACACAGAAATTTGAGACATCTAGTTATCCAGTTATAAACTTAAGACACACACCCACTCTATTTTCCGTAATAAAACTTAATACATTCCAATACTTGTATCTAACCACATTCCTAGAATAGTTGTTATAAATGCAGAAGGTATATTCAAGATGAATTTAAAGAAAACAACATACAGACACACGCACATTCAAAAGAATACTGCACCATATACAGAAACTTAAATGCTCTGAAGCTCCAACACATGAAGTCGTGTAAGAATGAAACTCAACTCCTCAATTGAAGGTTTGTGGCCCTCGCGTCGACGCAGATCTCGGAGAAGGGCGAAAACATAACTATGCATACATTCTCCGAAAAGTTGGTTTCGATGCGAAGCCATCGCTGCGGCGCTCTGACATCGCCCCGCCCTCCCGCGAGCACGCCACAATTCTCTGAGTTTAAGAACATCCGAATTGGCACAGTCCATGCAATTTTCTATCATGAAGAACAAACCAAGAGATGTGCTCCGAAGCGGATCCCTCGCTTCATCGACGCAGCGCAGCCACTTGGCTTCACCAAAGCACCGAATATTCCATTCTCATCCAGGCGGATCGCGTAGCGCACTGCCGCGTGGTGGCGTAGATTCGCGCGGGACCAGGTGTCGGAGAGAGAAGAGACTCTGCTCCGCCTTGCTCAGTTTCGTAGATGCCGAAAACTTTGAATGGGATTCGTGTAGATAGATGATAGGTCGGTAAAGGTGAAATCTACAAAGCTTGAGAGGGTGGTGGCGGGGGGTGGGTAGACTGCGAGCTCTCCAGCAGCACGGACGTTTCTCCAGAGTTCCAGAGAAACGACGGTGGAATGCAGTTTGGAGGCGGCAGATTAATGCGGGCGCATGTGTACAGGCATCTTAGTAGGTGCTAGACTGGTAGTTGTGCGCAGGGGTCGCAAGAGAATTTCGCTAACCTTGGGTGGAGTTGCGGCGTGTCGCTGAATTATCGGCCTTCGGAGGGTAGTGAGAGTTTCGTGTAGGGAATGCGCGTGTTGGGGCGTGTCTGTAGTTTGGAATTGTGGAGAGGTCTTCAAGGGCTGATTCGTTGCAGATATTTTCGTTGCGACGGTGTTAGTGATGAGTATACGGTGGTAGAGAGCTGAAGAGGAGAGGAGGAAGAGAAGGAAGAGGAGGAGGAGGAGGAATGCGGCTGAGGGAATTGTGACAGCGTCAACGCTGCGGACAGGAGGATGCGCGCTGCTGCCGGGAGTAGCAGCAACACATATATGGAAAGTAGATTGGAGCGTTCTTTTGTCACCTTGGAGATCGTGGGAGCGTAGATTGAATCCGATCGGTGAGGCTTTCAGTCGAGCTGGCTACTAGTGGAGAGGTTTTCATTTTTTACCGGAGGACTCGGTTGAAGATGCCGTTGTGTACAACGCGAGACGTTGATGATATAGTGGAGTGGGCATTCTTTTGTTTGGGTGTACATTTGCGTCGATAGTTATTGAGCTGTTGGAATACGAGAGTTTGTAGTGTCAAGAGAGGGGCTGTGAATTAATTATCGCGCTGTGTAATGGTCGTGGCGGAGAGTCCCAGCGCGCCTCATTGCGTGCGAGAGAGTCTCAAGTACTGACGTTTCCAAGAGCTTGATAGGTCCGTGAGTGGTTCGCACGTGTGGTCCATTAGGGGATGATGACGAGCGCCGGCGTAACCTGTGCGTCTTCAAAGCTCTTCTCGTGAATGATTCTCAAGATTTGGAATTCCTTCTTTTTGAAGGTTTGAGACCATCGAGTATCGACCACTTTGAAATTCACAGATTTGAATTGGAAAGGTGTCTGACATGTTATGCGCCTCAACAGTCGTATCGAGAGGTTTCCTGGTGATACTCTTTGCAGCTCAATCTATAAGGTCGGAAGCTTGACAACTACAATATTGCACCTGCGGCTTATTAATTGGGCAGTAGTGCATCCAGACCTTTGTCACAGCTCTCTAGTACAACGTTCCAAAAGAACTTTTCGGGGATCACGAGGCGTTCGCTACTGAGTTGTTGTCTCTGAAGTCATCAGTCGTAAAGCCTGGTTTGGGAGAATATGTCGGAGTGATGAAGCCTGTCTTGGGCTTAAAAATTATTGTGCAGAAAGGTGTGGTTTAGACACATGGAAGGGACAGAAAGCAGGTAGAGGATAAAATTAAGGATGGAACAAGGTCAGAACGAAGGTAAAAGAACCGAATCCGATGGCATGAGCGTTAGAGGGTTAGCAAGCGGCGAAGAGCAGGGTTCTTTTTTCATCGGCCACACTTTGTTGCGCTTGTTAAAGAACTTATCATGGTCTAGAGGAGTGTGGATACCACGTTTTCTAACACCTCCGAATTTCTCTCGTAGTAGTCTTGCCACTCCCCTTTATTATTCCGACCACATCAAGTCTCTCAGTTGCTGCGCTGCTTTCTGTAGGTTTCTAACTCCCTACCTAGGCTTGAGTCTGCCCTTATTAATCCCTTCTCTTACTGTACATAGCCTAATATTTACAATGATGTTTCTACTTTTGCTCTAGCTTTTGCATTGTACGCACAAAGTTTCTCCTTCTCTCGAAACTTCTACTGATCACTTTGTACCTCTACTATCCTTTTGGTTTGGTTTGGTTTGGTTTTTTTTTCTTCACCTCCAAAGCGTGCCATCTTTTCGCCGTGGTCTCTATGTCTGCTATAGAGTTATGTAGAGATCCTTGTATCCTTTATTTATCTTTCAACGAAGGGTCTACAGCTATTTTAACGCTCTAACGATTTTACGATTTTCGAGATGAGGTGATATGGGATCGTAAGAGATCCAGTTTCTCTAGCAAATGTATCATGTTCTAACTGGATCAGTAATCCCGTGGCATTCAATTCCTTTGCTGGGCTTCTAGTAGGTACTTGAGGAATGAATCCACAATATCGATGTAGAAAACTTGGAGTGTTTCTTATCTTCCAGCCGTCTTTGGTCGCTGTCATTCAGATTTCGCGCCTACGATGAGTGGATCACGGGCTTCGCTGTTGAGCGAGTCAGGAAGAATATCCAGTGATGTTACATCTGAAGATCAGTTTGAAGTTCAAAGCATGGATGGAACAATTTCAACCCTTAGTATGGATCGCCTCAGCCTCGACCTTATGGGTGATGGAGATTTGAGCTTCAGTTTGAATCATGGTGATGACGGTGCCAGCAGCTCGGCGGGGTCTTCACCTTTGGGGTGGCCGTTGGCTAGAATGGACAGGCAGAGTGCACTTCCTTCACCTTGTTCATCGAATCCAACTAGTGGAAGGAAAAACTTTATGTGGGAAGAAAGGAGGGAGAATAAAAAGGCTGAGCTCTCAGGTCGGTAAACGTTATCATCAAAACAAATTTCTCCACAAATTCAATAAGAAATTTGACTGAATTTAAGCGCATCGTATGATGCATTGGCTTTCTCCACGTTTGGACTGATAGATGCAAGCGCTGTGTTAACTGATTGAACCTGTTGCTTCTACAGAAGTGGAGATGATGAAGGAGAAATTTGCAAAGCTGTTGCTCGGGGAAGATATGTCAGGTGGGGGTAAAGGAGTTTGCACAGCATTAGCTATATCGAATGCGATCACGAACTTGTCAGGTGAAAAACCAATGCTGCTACAGTTATTTCTTTGTTAAGCGAAAGCTCCCAACGAAATTTCTGCGAGTTGATTCTGTCACGGTTGGCCAGTGGACTGAACTTGGCGTTTCAATAACTAATGCCCTGATTTGTGTTCACAGCCTCTGTGTTTGGAGAGTTATGGAGGTTAGAACCATTACCTACGAAGCGCCAGATTATGTGGAGGCGAGAAATGGAGTGGTTGCTTTCAGTTAGTGATCATATTGTTGAGCTGGTACCTTCTTGGCAACGATATCCGGATGGAAGTAGAATGGAGGTATGGGGTCCTTCCAAACCCAATTGTCTGTTTTCTGTCAAGATATTGGATTTAAATGATACTTGTTGCCAATTTATGTTATTCATGTCAGATGTTGCACTCATTGTTCAAAACGTGCACGCAACGCTTTATTGTTCTGATTCTATTGGAACCCCTTAATCGAGTTAGGTATGTTTTGGAAAAGTTGTAAAGAATGGCTTGCTTACGAAACGCAGGTCATGGTAAGCAGACCCCGATCAGATCTTAGTATCAACTTGCCAGCTCTAAGGAAGCTAGACAATATGTTGCTTGTAAGTTCCTTTATCCACAAATTTCCGCATGCGATATATTACGAAGATAACTTGATTCCATTATTCGCACTGATTTCTAACGTGTTTGTCTGCACTTCTAACATAGACAAATTTGTTTCAACGTCTTAGTTCATTTCGCCATTTCTGTTGACTCTTCAGGATTCACTAGAAAGCTTCAAGGATACGGAATTCTGGTACGTGGACCACGGGATTGCAGTTTCTGAGGAAAGCAGAAGCTCGCGGCATTCTATGCAACGGCAAGAAGACAAGTGGTGGTTACCTACACCCAATATACCAGAGAACGGACTATCAGAAACTTCCAGAAAGTCTCTACTCCATCAACGCGATGCTACTAGTCAAATTCTTAAAGCTACCATGGCTATAAACGCGCAAGTTTTGTCGGAGATGGAGGCACCCGTGTCTTATTTCGACTCTTTGCCGAAGGTAACCTTTCTATGGCCCAGCAACCCGAGTAGCCAATGCTAGCTTGCTCTGGAGTTTATCTTATGTTGACTGTTAAGACTCTGATTTTGTAGATCCACAACTATCTATGCAATAATCCAGTTCGTCTTTCGCAGTGTCAATGATGCTATCAAAGAGCTTGATTAGTTTCAGTTTTGTCTTTCAGACTGCGAGAGCCTGTCTTGGTGATGAATTGTATCGGATCATAGCCTCCGAGCACTTTTCTCCAGAACACCTTGTGTCGACGTTGCACTTCGGTGACGAACACGGCATTTTGGAGCTAGCAAATCGATTGGAAGCTGCTGTGGTCGGATGGCGTCGAAAAAGTGGGGCTAAGTCATTGGCACCGATGTCACTTCACGGGAACAAACTCAATAACACGACCTGGAACAAAGTGAAACACTTTGTTGGAGATGTGGATAGGAGAACAATACTTGCTGACCGAGCGGAGAGTGTACTTGTACGGCTGAAACAGCGAGTTCCAGGGATGGCGCAGACCGTGTTAGATGCAAATAAAATTCAGTTCAACAGGGTATGATCAAAATCCATACACGATTATCCCTGAACCCTGTAACCAACTATTTAGAATCGTTGTGTTGTGAGGCGTTTGTCTTTCTGACTCTTCTCCGAAATTTATACTAATGAGCATTATACTTCATCGTCTGTTGGCATAGGTTAGTTTCAGGGTGTTTATCAATGTTTGGGCTATTTTGACGCATCGTTTGTTGCAATGCAGGATGTGGGGCAGTCAATTCTCGAGAGTTACTCTCGAGTGCTGGAAAGTCTAGCCTTCACTATCATTTCGCGTATTGATGACGTCCTGTATGCGGACAATCTCGTGAAGAAGTCGCTTGCACCTCAACCCTCCATAGCACGAGATGGCTCAATGTCGCGGCGCCTAGGCTTCTCAAGCCGAAGAGTGATGTCGAATGGGAGCGAGTCAAAGCGGTTTACTTCTCTGACCACTATATACGCAACGCCTTGCATCTCACCAGCCTGTTCCCCTCCCGTCAGTCCTCAAGCCACTCCCAACTCTCCACACGATGTTGCCAATGGACCAACTCCAGCGCCCTCTCTGGGCAAAGCTCTGTCAGACTACGTGTGTAGACATATACCAGAAGGAGAAGCTTTATCAGAAGAACGATCGCTCAAATGCCGAGCGGATGGTGCGAGTCCTTGGACATATGCAAGACATCTTGAGAATTCTAATGCTTTACATAGTCCTCCTGGACGGCATTAGAGTCACAACAGCTTTGTGGGTCACTTTCACTCTGTATATTATCAATTCTTCAGTGATCAGAATTCACCTCAAACCCATTATATTCTCCTTGCGATGCATAAATGCGATTGGTGCCGCGTTTTGTACCCATCTAACCAGTCCGCAGCGTCTATAAGATGCGAGCGCCACACGGAATTAAATGAATTTTGCGGTGTGAAAGGAAGTTGTGATGAGATAGTGGGCATAGCTCATGTAATGAGCATTATTGTAGCTTGCATGATTTCCCTGTAGAAATGAAAATGAAAAGGTAGGTAGCATAAAAATTGGACACAGGTTTAGGGTTTAGGTTAAGGAAATTGTCGGTGAACGTGATATTATGGGCGACGTTGTCGTAAACAAGATTGGATATAGATGGTGATGTCCATAACGGATGAATGTCATCTTTTGGCTATACAATACGATCACATCAAATCGGCTTGCCTACATTTATCATGATCTGATATTTGTGATTGTCGATGCATGTTTTGCTTTGTGGTATTTTAGTTGATTATTAAACAAAGATTGGTGTTTTGAAAACTTCTGCTTTTGTCGTTTATTTGAACAATTTTATTATTCTTTTTCTTTTTCTTTTCCTGCTCATTTTAGTCTCATTGTTTGCTCTTCTTGCACACGCAAGGATTTCTTGAAGCATGTGCTCGTCTTGTGATATTTATGATTCTTATATTGATTGTTCTCATTTTGTTTGTACATTGTTTATGCTTGGTTAAGTTATGAATTTGAGGTGCTTGTTTAAGATTTGACCTTGGAGCTAAGGGCAAGTTCAGTTTTACTGCACACACACAGTTGTGGTAGTGGATGCAAGAAGAACAAGCAAGAGCTCACAAACAAGGGATGGATTGGGCTAGCTTTGGTGGATGTTTCAAGTATTTATTATTGCACAATTATCAATTTTGTTTTTTTATCTTTTGTAGACCATTTTTTTTTTTTTTTTTTTTTGATGTGTAAGTAGGATTTTGATATGATTCTACAAATGCATGTCATATACTGTAAGTATTGTTATTACATTTGGTTAGAGTTGTTGCCAACAATGCCAACTTTCTTCTTAAATTTTCTTTATTCAAGAGGTCTCAAGATTGTACAACAAAAATTTAGTTACAATATGTTTTTTGGATTTGGTAGAGAAATTCAATTTCCTATTACTATACTTATAAATCCTTTGATTTACTTGTCAAAAGAAGTGGTATAAAATGTTGACAATTTAAGTTGGTATAAGTAATTATAAATAAAGTCTATTTTAATTGATGTAATAAATTGGATCAATATGCAAATGCAACAACATGATCTATGATTAGAATATTAAATATCAAATTTGAAGATAGCAAATAAATTAAGTAGAAAGAACAATATATAAGTAGACAATTAAAATTTATATAGTAGCAACCAATTATCAATATGTTGTTGCAATCTAACAAAAAAACAAACTTGAGATTCATAAAAGAAATCTTAATTGTACAAAATTACAATTCTAGATAGAAAAAGTTTGTAATTTGTAAACAATTTTTGTTATCACATGAAATTGGAGGTCAAATTCTAAATCATATACTATATTGGAAAATAGTAAAGATATTAAAATGGTTGCAATAAAATTAGAGATTGTAGTAAAAATGACAAAAAGGTTACAAAATTTATTAGAAGATTAATGGAGGATTGATAGTAGAATGTAAAGATTAGATTTTGGCAAAAAGACCTCAAGGATTACATAGCATAGAGGATAGGGCATTGTTGGTTATAGCATTGAAGGAACAAGAGACAATCTTAGGAATTATTTGTTTATTTTTTTGTATATGTTACATATACTATTGTTCTTTATTTGATAGTCACATCAAAGTGTGAAATTCCTCAATAGCCTAAAAATTCCTTCATTAAAATTGATGTTATTGGATTTTAAGTAGTCTAACCAAGGCATTTATGGGCATTTATACAAATTAGATGGACAATTTAATACCATCATTGCATTCACATTCCCTTACAAATATCTCAAATCTTACAAAGAGTAACATGCTATTCTAGATGCACGGAACTTCAGAACATCATCCTTAACTCAGAAAGTAATTTAAAAGCCATAAGTGGTGAAAACTGAAGTATACATTGCAAGAATTTTGACTAGCATATTCTACTAGCTCGTAAGTGGAGCTTAACACCAGATAGAAAGGGAATATCCAATATAGTTTCTTTACATTATTAGAGAAATAAAAAATAACTTCAAGGGAAGTGGTTGAAATACTGTCATTGAGGTCTCTGTCAGAAGAAGTTCCGTATCCAGTCTTCGCGAGTTTTACATCCCCTGGTGTCTCTCCACGAAAATAGTATCACCCAATACAACAGGGAAATTATACGAACACACAGAATAGACGTGGAGGACCAGTAATCCTTAAGTAAAATTCTTAAATTTCATACGAAAAAAAAAAACAATTGCCTAGCTCTTGACTCAACAGAGGCAATAGAAAAAACCTAGCCTAATTTCCATCAACGTAAGGAAGCTCTGGAAAAGGAGAGACTTCAACTGTAGAGCTACTTGAAAACCATCTACTCCTCTGCCACTCAACGCATGCGATAATGCTGTGTTCTTGAAGCTTGCGACCTTTTCCCCTTGAAATTGTATGTGACAGTCACATCCAAGTCACGGGGATTCTTCTTATTCTGGGAGACTGTCATTGTGCCTGTCAAGGCCTCACCCTCACAGATTGCGATGACGTCCTCCAAGTACATCACAGTTTGCTTCCAGTGCGTTGGCCGTGCCTTGGGTCCTATTCAGAGGCAACATATATTCGTTCAGTACTAATGCAAAATTAAATCATTTCCATGCGGTAATAGAAGCGAGATGTAGACTTTAAAACGTCAAGGTCGAGACCGTAATTGGTGCAAAGCTGTCGACCTGTTGAAAACCCAATGGGCTTATGGCACATTGAGAAAGTGACGTCAAAATAGGCGACCAAAGCATGTATAAAATCATTTCGGGTAGCCACTAATTTGAAGGGAGCTGTGAAAGAAGCATCTCCGGTGCTCATCTTGCTGATATCCATTGTCTGGAAAAAGAGACAGAAAGGAGCTTAGGTCTTGCACTTGGAAACGCCGACGAGGGTAGGCATTGACAAACCAAAATAGAATATAATTTAAAATACATCCGAGAAGGTGAATATTCACCTTTAAGTGTGCGGCATGTGTCACAATTTGGTTGGCGTCAACCACATCCACTAGAGGTTCTACCATCGCCTGTTTCTTAATACAGCTCATGTCAAACCCGTACACTTGCTCCCAAACTGCATGAAATGACACGGTCATAATTCAAAAATCATTGAACTCAACACTTGAAATTGACAACCCTGTGCGTGCGGACTTTCTAACATAGAATATGTTTCTAAAGTACAACGTCAGCGTAAACTGAATCTAAACAATACATTAGCCCGAGTAGACTTAACCAAAAGGGCACCTAATTAGAGCCAAATGCGACACAAGAATAGATGTGAGACACTCAAAATCATGCCGATACAAAAGCGTGGATAGTGAAGATTGGCACAAAGATTTCAACCACTTGAGTTACTTACAGTTAATTTTCTCCTGTTTGTATTCAGCATCTTCGATGGCAGTGAGATACAAAGAAGTCTTATCGGGCATGACCAGACCTCCAGGAACCTGTCCCAACAAAATAAAAACAGTTATTTGACCTAGTGAAATAGAGGACCAAGCTGCTAAGTGAAAATCTGACTTCAAGGCTTTCACATCAGCCAACAAGAGCAAACGGTCTATTCACAAGACCAATAGTGGGTGCCGGCTGATAGTTACATATCACGTTCCCAGAAGAGATTCGTAAAAAGAGGCACTCACCAACCACTTGTCTCGAGCATAAAGTACAGTGTCAAGCATATTTTCGAAGAGAAGGAAATAGCCCATCCACTCTGAGATGATAATGTCGACTTTGTCGACTGGCAGAGTTATGTCCTCCAACTTCCCTTTGATAACCGTGACAACTAATCAACCATTAAAAAAACATGAGGATTAGAGATGACTTCCAAACTATTCCATGGCTTCCATGTAAACTCATTTTCAGGGCACTGAAGAAAATTGCAGCTGAACTACTTACCATCACTGAATCCGTTGGTTTTCACAATCTCCCGTGCAGTCTCGGCCATTGTCGAGCATTCAACCTGCCACAATAGGTGAGAGAAGTTTCCCGCACTGCGTGAGAACTAATTAAACAGCTTGAAAAGTGCTGTTCCCTCCCCATGCCTATCACTTGAAGCTAAGGCGAGTTAAGTGAGCCGGTACATGCGAAATGCGCAGATAACCGTTCGTAGGATAGAAAGAGACTTACTGCATATACGTGCTTAGCACCCCCCTTGGCGCAGAAAAGGGAGAGCACACCAGTACCTGCTCCCACGTCCAGGACTACTTTATCCTTAAATAAAAACCTATTCTGATAGATAGCATTCTGATACGTCTTTGTTCTCACTGCATCCTTCAGCATCTCCTGTGGATTTAGAAAAAAAAAACACCGATCACTGATTGCAATTGCTAGTAACATTCTAACAAGTCACATCAACTAGAATCTCGAGAGCTCTAACCCCCACTGTAGAAAATCCAGGAAAGTTATTTGCAATAGGTTCTGTGAGGTTGTCGCTATGGTTAATTCAGCGCTCGTTCAGACTTTCCGGGAAAACTCAGTAGTGAAACCGTCATGTACTAACACTGCCCAAGAGGTTTGTTCGATACTAATAAACAGTTGGCACTTATAGACGGAAATCCAAACTCACTTCATGAATGCCTGCACAAGATGAACACAACAAACGCACACTCTGAGATATTGATCGAATGGCACAACAATAAGCCTACCCTTTATCTTTGACCTAGGTGGGAAAGTAAAAGGTGATTGTCGATACTGCAAGCCGCAGCCTCCGACGAGGTAAACTATAAACAGAAACCACATGGAATTCGACAAATACCGGTTGGTTCGAAATAACAGGGGAAAAAAAGAAAAAAAAAAGGAAAAGTTAAAGTGGATTCATTCGGCATCGTGGACAAAGTCGTAAAAAACGCCACGCTATGTAAAAAAAAACCAGTTCTCCATCTTTAAACCGTTTACACAAAAAAATCGGATTGTCCAGGAAAGTTTAAGCAACAACTAACAAAAGAGTAGAAGAACCCAAAAACCTACACGCGAAAATTCACAACAACGAGAGAGACATTCCAAGGACTAGCACCACTCACCGAAATGCGCATATGAATCGAAATAGTAATCTGAGCTGGTGTGGTCGGACGGCGTGACCGCTCCCTCGTCGCCCTCGATACGAATCGCGGCGATCAGAGGCTCAGGGGGAGCAACAACCGTCTCGCCTTCTACAGCCATAGCCTCAGTGCCATTCGCATCCGCAACAACATCCATGGCGGACGACCCTTCTCTCACCGCCTTCCCCTTGTTACGACGGCCCATGGCTACAAACAATCTCACATCAACACGCTCTTTCGCAACAAAGCAACTCTCTCTTCAACCCTGATCACCACTCCTCCACTCTCTCCTCCAAGAAACACAATTGCGCCGACTTTCCGAGGCTTCGCAAGTTCGTAATTTATAGATTCAACTGGGACAGAGCAGCTGAAACGGCCGTTGCCACAGCTCGCGTCGCGGCTGCGGGACCTCTCAAAACCTAAACGAGGGGCGCCTGCAGGACTATAACTACAGGAAGAGGAGGAGTTCGAAGGAAGGAGGAAACCCCCACTAGGGCTGGGAGATTTCTCACCGGCGATCACCAGTCCATGCTCTTTGTTGGAGGTTTGAATACCGAGTACCACCTGTGGGGGGTTTGAATTTGACAGCCTGCAACTGGCTCTCGTCGCCTGCTGGGCCTTCGGCGCCGCCACAAGTTGTTCGTCGTTGTCGTGACTGCCACGTCAACTGGCAGCGGATGTTTTTATTTTCGGGTTGAGAATGCCATGTCAGCTGAGGCACGTCATTCATCACTTCCACGTCATCTGCAACACGTCATTCGTCCATGGCACATCGTCGTCGTGTTTGACGCAAACAAATTGATGTATCTAAGTGCATCCATTGTTGATCTTATGATTTTCTCAACATTGCTTGCAAAAAGGATACTTTTAAGAAAGATATAACCTGTATCAAAACTACACAAATTATATGAATTTCTGTATATGTAACAAAAAGAAAATATTATAAAAAAACAACAACAAACAAACAAACAAACAAACCTCTAGTAAATCTTGTTAAAAAGCACAACAATGCATTTCATTAAAAAATCATATGAAAATCAAATGCTAATCAAAAACTCTTTGTTATTTTAAATTAACATAAATCAAAAAATATTTTTTAAATTCAATAATACAAATACAACTTTGGATTAGATTCTAAACTATAAAGACAAGCACATCTAAGGTGGCAACTTTTGGTTAATATATTACAATATACAACAGTACAAAAATCCTATCAAGTTCTTTTGTTTGGAAAAGTAATATTCGTGGCTCATGCAAATAGATCCCTAGAGTTAATTTTCTAATTTTGTTCTTAATAGCAAGAGATATAAATGAATGTTTTCTACAAATTACAAATTGGTGTAAGGAAGGGAGTACAAATGCATTGAGGTAAATGGTAATGAATTTAACAAAGTAACAAAAGGATTCTAATTGCACATAATTGTATGAGTGAGAGACATGACACTCTCACCTTATGTGGTATACAAGATAAATATGCAATCAAAACATCATCATTGTCTAATAAGAGATGATAAAATAAAAAATAAAAAATAAAATATGTTGCTTTTGTAGATATTAGAATGACCAAATCTTTGTCAATTATATATTAAACTTTAGATAATAGTTATATACAAAAATTTCATATCATTTTTTTTTTTTTTATTACACAAACATTGAAATGATGAGGGTTGTTGCAATATATAAAAGAAAGATAGTTGATTGACTTGGAAACTTTGTTACATAATAGAGCCAAGTTAAAAAATATATAAAAAAAAAAAAAAAAAAAAAAAAAAAATTCAACCAAATTTATCTTTTTGCATTTTGAGATGCATTTTACTTAATATGGGACATTTGGTAATAAATAAACTCGCTTAAAATTATGAAGTCCTACTGTGAATATAGTCATTAAATATGTAAATTTATTCCTCCTAAAGCTTATAAATATTATACAATCAATTATAACTTATTTGGATGCAATGAAGAGGTTTAGAAGTAGGGCATGTTTCACTTACAATATTTATATATTATCATTCTTTATTATCATTAATAAGAGGGTTTCCTATTCAAAATTCAAATACAAACTTAATCTTGGAATACTATATATATATAATTATTTATTATTTATAAAAATAATTATTATATATATTATTTCTATATATATATATAATTAGAGAAGGTAAATTAAATCCAAATATACTTATGAATCTAGATTTATATTATATTCTTAAATGCATCACTAAATAAAAGTTGAAATAAGGTTGAAGTTGTGATAGTTGAGATTATTGTGGTTGAATTGAGATCTTTAATTTGATCTACTTTGTTTGTCTTAGATAAATCCCATCTACTATACTTTGAAGACTCCTAACACAAGACTATTTTGAACTCATGATTTCACAATTTTTAAATAAAACATATCATATTATATTATCAAAGCTAGATTTAGATTAATTATATAACAATAAGTTATTTGAACTTGGATTTTAGAATACATGAGATATGTAGAAGGTAAACTACAATAAGAAAGTACTTTCTTTTATTTGTATGGATGCAATTAAAAATGCTCATAATTGTACTAATCACAACTAAGTTGGAACCTTGTCTCTATTTTTAAGCTCTCCCACATAACATGCCACAATAGTTTGGCTTATCTCCAAATGGAGCAAAAAATATAACTTAATTTATAAATTTTACTTTTAAATTGGACACAATTAAACATTTACAATTAAACCACTCTTCTTTTCTGCTTAAAAAAGATCCTCTGCATGTAAACTACATTGGAAGTGCCTCTAGTCTAACGTTCAACTCCACTTAAGCTTCATGTCAAGAAAAAGCAGTGTCTTGACCAACAGAGACTTAGAGACTTGTTTATTTTCCCAAGGTTTTTCCTAAATTTATATAATAAACATAAATGTGTATGATAGTGAAATGTAGTTATTCAAAACGCAAATATATTGTATCAAGTTAAATGCAAATTTAGTTATAAAAATCCCAGACTGCTGAGTCGTTATTTTAGATACAATTTTTAGTTGTCAATAGCAGACCAGCAGCTAGCACACATTGAAAAATGACTAGTTGAAAATTCACTAGTTTTCTTCCATTCTCCAACACATGACAGAACAATTACTCCAACTAGCTTCTAAGATTTTCAATGTCACACCAGTCATTGTACACACTTCTGTCGCAATATTGCTTTCAATTGGTGAATATGCTACAGCAATTACCTCAGTCCCATTGCATCCATAACCGTGTCCATAACCTACTTAAAACCTGTTTGGATAAGTACGACCTGCTAAACACTACTAGTTTCCTGGTGACTACCTGGAATCCTCCACACATTATGTTATTCATCTTACACCCTACCAACCATTTGCCAAACGCTATCCCTGACTATACTGAAGAATCCTTGAGTGTAATTAAAAAAGATTCACATCAAAACGCAGTGTGCACTTCATACATTTGAGTCCAGGAACAGTATCCTCCCATAGTGCACATGGCCAATTCGTATCAGGGTTTGGGTGCTCCACCAGAATTGCTTCTCTTCAAACCTCAGTCCCAACCCTGACCCATCACACATCTTTCCATCTGCACATCCAGCTTGTAAGCCCTGTCGTCGCTCTCAGAGCACGACATGTGAAACTCAAGCTTGTTTGAAAGATGGTGACACCTGCAGCAACGACTAAGTCATGAACAATTATTTTTCGTTGAGGTTGAGGGAACCCACAGGTCAGGGAGGGGGCTGGACCTAACAGCTGAAATCTGCACAGCTTTAAACACAACCTTGTTCCAGCATTGCTTGAGCAACTCGTAAAAAGCTCGCAATGTTGGCTCCATGAAGTAATGCCCTGTGCGAACAAGACAGGTTAAAACATTAGAAAATCCATACCGATTTTGACATATTTCCTGATCAGAATGGAGGTGGCTTTTGATTGAGGATTTGTTCAGCTTGTTGCAAAAAAGATAAGACGTTATTAAAATAAGGAAAACATTGATTGGACCGCTTACTCTGGATTTCCAATTCCGTACTCTTGGGCAGCCTTCATGGATTTTTGGTATATGTCTTTCATGACCTCTTGTAGTCTCATGTCAACTTCTTCAGCTGTCCATTGAACACGTGAACTGTTTTGCGCCATCTCCAAACCTTGAATGGCTACCTGCAATTCAGAAGAGTTTGTTGATCATTATGCTACAATACTTCCCCTTTTATATGACATATATGCAGGTGCAGATACCATTCCTAAATCGATAAGAATCAGCAAAAGTTAAATTGGTATTAGCATTATATTCAGCAATACCCTGACAAAAAGCAGGTGAGAAAATATCAAACACGAATGATTAATCACCACAGGCTGAACTCAAGCGATACTTGTGAGGTCCGATATCAGAAACCTTACCCCTCCAGCATTTGCAGCTTTTCCAGGACCAAACCATATTTTGGACTTACGAAATATATCAATCGCTTCAGCTGTACATGGCATATTAGCCCCTGCTACCAAAAAGAAGAGTTCGTTATGGTAGAAAAACAAGCCAGTCTATCACAACAGACGATGAGAAACCTCGGATTTGATCGAACACCTAATTGCTACAGCATTGTTAGTATTCTTGAGATATCATAGTCACTACGAGATTCAATAACGAGAACATTCTCTTTCAGAAATCAATCACTGAAAATCACAAACATGAGGATTTACCTTCTATGATAATTTGACATCCAACATTAATGAGGGACATGGCATCAGCGTGATTGAGCTCATTCTGTGTTGCACAAGGAAAAGCTATATCACACTTCACTGCCCAAGGCTTTGTGTCATCCAGATACTTTGCTTTCGGGTAACTTTTGGTGTATTCTCTGAAAAACATATCAAGCTGATTAAACTCTAGAGCGAGACACAAACAACAATCGGGATACACAGATGTTAAATAATTGTCCAAGGATGGTTGCTAAAAATGGCTATTACCTCAGGTTCTTGTTGTGGGCTTTTATTTCGCGAATGAGACTAAGTTTGACACGATCAAATCCTTCTTCATCAAGCAGATAACCTCTTGTATCTGTCATTGCAAAAACATAATTTGCAAAAAGATCAGTTCCTGCTAACGCCACTTTAACTAAAACTGACAAGGGACAGAGTATAGATCGCCAGTAAAATCTTTCTACTGCCTAAAGCCACAAACACACAGTGCGTATCAGATGGAATAGGGCTGAATGCGTTAAGAGTTTCAAACCTGAGATGGTTACTGGAACTGCCCCAAAAGAGATCAGTTTCTCCACCGCATACAACGCCACTTTCCCAGCACCGCTCACAACACACCTGCAAGGAAACAAGCAGAGTAAGACAAAGTCGATAATTTGCTTACTTCAAAAATGAAAGTAGCACAGAAGTTGATTTTTTCTTGATGAATAATATTGAAAATGTCAGTGAACAGCATATAGATCTCGAAGTAACGCTCTGCCCAGTAAAATGAAGGAATGACAAACCTGAGGTCTTTCAAATCTCTGTGTAAATCAGTAAGCACCTCCTTAGCATAATATACCTACAGCCAAGGTCCCAAAGCACTCAGAAATTACTAAAACGCAACAAAATAAGACTCAACTCAGACCCCACACATGGAACATACAATTCGTGTACGCAAAATTTATTCCAGTAGCTTTAATATCCACACAGATAAAATCCAGTAAATGACATGCTGATAGCCAATATCATCATAAATCAGCACTGGTAACCTAGTCCTAAATAGCATTACCTGCATATTCATAGAAAGAGATAGCAAGAGCAAGAAAGAGAGAATACCACGCCATAACCAGTAGCCTCTGGATGCAGATTGGATGTGCCCCATTGAATCCCTTTGGGACCTAACATACCCTGTAAAAAACACATTAAAAAACATCAAAAGAAATCCCCTAAAGCTTCTTATTCCATAGCCTCTCACTATCCTAGGCATTAACGGACCTTTCCTCCAACTCCCAGCAATATATAAGTCTGGTGGCTGCACGCTTTTCAGTGAGTCATGCAGGCAACTACATAGCGTCATGTCATCTTATGTTGTGCAAGACCATGTACGATTGAACAACTGTGTGATTCCTTAAACCATGGACTAGCAAGTTCAGAGGACAACCATATAAAAATAAATCGAGCGGCAGAAACACGGACCTCGTATTGGCTCGTCAGACGCCTATATTGGCCAAATAGATAACCAATTTCACGTGGTCCGACTCCAATGTCTCCAGATGGAGTGTCCTGAAGAAGCCGAATACTCCACATGAATTACATCAAGCAACCCAGATGTCTTTATGACGTCCACAAGGGGGCAGCTGAGAAAAAAAATAAAATTAAAAAATAAAAAAAGTCTTACTCGTATTTTCCTGGACGGAGAAACTTACAAAGATAGGAACTTGGTTAGGTCCAATATGCCTATACAGTTCTTCCATGAAGCTGTAACAGAACCGCATGATCTGCAATGACAAGAAGGAAAATAATAAAACTGTATCAATTTATTTGCATCTTGCTGCTGATAGCTCTGAAACTTCATCCACATTCAAAGCCGAAACGTCCAATTCGATATCTCAGAACCTCTTGGTGGAAGAATATCGTTGTGATGACCACTATTTACACCGCCACTACAAACCGACAAATTGCTTTTCTACATAAACTCTTCCAACAGGCAAAGGAAAAAGATCAGGAATTAGGAAGGACACATGTAAATAAGGTGTGTACACATAGGAGGTACCAGACCAAATGTACAAACTAACCTCATTCTCACTTTTTCCTTTGGGGTTGAAGTCACTGCCGCCCTTACCACCACCCAAGCTGAGAGATGAAAGAGAATTCTTCAATGTCTGCAAAATTTTCAAGATGCAAACTTCAGCGAACCATCACCGTATCTAAAATGGATTGACTATGGAAGGAGGTAAAAAGGACTAGATGCTGAAATCGAACTAGACAGTAAAAATACTGATCTCCACTCTTGAGTTAATCTTTCCTTAATAAAACCAACTTCGTTGTAACTATGAAGATAGCTGCAATAGGTGCTCAAAAACTAATGAAATTTCCAACAGACGTAAGTGTAGCGTACGGATAAACGAGATCGTAACAACGAAGACAGAAATATAACCTGTTCAAAAGCAAGGAACTTCATAACACTGAGATTGACGGTTGGATGAAAGCGAAGGCCGCCTTTGTAAGGTCCAAGGGCTTGGTTGAACTGAACCCTGAAACCACGATTCACATGTGCTTCTCCCTTGTCGTCCACCCAAGAGACTTTGAAGATAACCACTCTTTCCGGCTCCACTAAGCGCTCTAACACGTGTACATACCTGTCAAAGTCAGTCTCATCAGGATCTATTGTGACCTATCTCAACCAAATCGACATGCTCGACTCCAGGCTACAAGATAATTCAATTGTTCACATTGAGGTTAAACACGGCTACTATCATACTCGCTAATGAAGAAGCTTTGCCAAACAGTAAAAAAAGTACTAGAATCTAATACTACAAGATAAGGTGTGAGGTGAACCTACTGTGGATATTTTGTGAGAACAGGCTCCAATGAATGCACAACTTCTTGAACTGATTGTATGAATTCCATTTCATGCGGATCTCGCCGCAAGATAGCTGATAGAATAGATACTGCACTTTTAGAGGGCAAAGATCTTTACATCAATACCAAATTTAAAGCAATTGTAGACGATGTGTGCGTCAAAAAAATAACCATAGTACCACCTTAAAATCTACAAATCCAGCTTACTCTCAGCAACCAAGCATCGCTAGAGCTTAAATTGGTGAGACTCTTCACAACCACACCGTAACGCCATCGCATTCTAAGATGTCAAGCCACCGAAATAAAGCAAACACGAATAGAATGCCAGTTGCACTACGCAGCGTGCACTCATGAAGTGACAGAAAAGAGAGAATGGGCTTACATGAGGACACGGTATGTTGAAAATAGCCTTCGTTTGTCCATTGTCTTGTCATATCTGCCAGACACAAAACAACAACTACAGCGCGTCAAAATGCATCTTCCTCGTCGCAGTGCAAATGGCGACAGTCCTCTAATACCACGCTCTTGTACCGATGAGTCCTTGCACAAAATGTAATCACATCGAACATGAGAGAAGCTGCCTTTGCGATAAACTTTGGGATTTCAGGATGCACTTGCCAAAAGGCCTAACGAACAAAGAACGATTCAATTCAAGCAATGAGGTAAATAACGACATCCCTAAACCTCATCAGCTATGGCTTCATACGGCCAACTTGCCCGTTCTAAAATGAGGTCAATGCATTTCATCTCAGAAGAATACCCTTAACATAGAGAGGACGCTCTATAACTCCCATCCCTTTGTCACGGGAAGCCATCTGTAAGCGAAGAGCCTCTTTATGCAAAAGACTATTGTTGTGCTCCTCAAGGGCACTCATTTGCATGTTACGGCTGCCTTCATTGCCATACGGATTGCGTCGGTGCTTCCTTCCATACTCCTTACATACAGAGCAGAATATGCGATGGGAGCCCTCATGGACCGAGACGTAAGCCCATTTGTAAGTCTCTGCCCACTCATCGCGCCACCTCTTGACAACTTTTTTCTTCTTCCGTGGAGTTGGCTTCAATCCATGTTCCCCTACAGAGATGAGTGCCAAGTTCTGGTTGGCTACTGGGTCGAAATGGGTCGCATCTTCGTAACCTGGTCCCATTTCCAAGTCGATCTCCTCCATCGCCTCCGTCGCAATTATCGTATTAGCCAGTGTAAATATCAGGAGCACACTCCACCCTAGCACGATTCAGTCTCTTTAATGAGCACTCTCTCCCTGACACATGCTCCACGGCATGCATTGTAGAAAACACTCAGCAGCACCAATAGATTTCACAAGGCTACTTCAGACACAATTTCTATCACATGAGCTCTGAATTAGCCAATTCCCAAAGTATGCCGCAAACCTTATGAAACCTGTGCCCCTGTCATTAATCCCCTAATTGTTTCTCCCCAGCTGATTTTCGCAACTTGGCGGCACCTCCATTATCACACGAGATCACAAAATTGCACAATTTTCCACTCCGAAGCTCTTTGGAATTGCTGCAAAACCTAGCTCAGTAATCTACGCTGCAGGCTACAGACTTCTTCAGTGCTCCTCATGCATCGTCTAGAATCGACCTCTGGTCATTGCAATGACTTCATCATAGTTCCTCGTACACTCCTCTCCTCCCTTCCTCCTCCAAATCCACGTCTTCAATACCACCAACCCCATCAACACGGGACGCGAAGATGACATCAACCCTACACACAAAACTCACATCTTCAGAGGCAACTATTTCCTGCAATACGCAGATGAATGTCTCTCAACAAAGACCTAAACCGAAAAAAACAGAAAACTAACTCACTTCTAAGCTCAAATATAGACTCCAAACAACACTGTACACTACAACTACCAAACTACCACGAGATCAAAAAAGGAAAAAAGAAAAAAAGAAAAAAAAGGCCTAAAAATTATGTTCCAGTTTTAACAGCCAACAATCAGCACCTGAAAATCCGTCTCTTCCACAACACTAATCGCACGCCTCTTCTCATCACACCCACCTCCCTCACACCTCAATTTCAACTCCTAATCAACTCAAACAATCACTCACCCAAAAATTCCTCTCTCCCACAACAAAAAACCAAACCCAAATCCAAAAAAAAAAAAAAAAACGATTCACGCTGATCAACCCTGCACCCTGCACCAGATTCCTCCCAATATGACTCAATCAAAAACTACAAAACTCAGTACCCATACAACAAAACGAAGCATGCTAGCAACCCAAATGATCTATCACCCACTAACGTAACGAAAAAATTGTGGGTAGGCCTGGAACTAGACACATCACTCACACACACACAGCGAAAGAAGGCACACACACACACACACAGAGACACACCGAGCGAGAGGGCGGGCACGGTAATAGGGCCAAGGAGAGGAGGTGCGGGGGGTGGGAAATGACGGGGCGGGTTGTCAGCCGGGCGACCCGGCCCCTTCGCATCATCCATGGTGAAGCAGTCTCACACAAGCAGCAGCAGCAGGGCTACATTTGAATAAAGCTTTATTCACACAGCCAGCCACTCACACTTCCTTTCCACTCACTTGAAATAGTTAACATTATTATTTTATTTTAATTTTTATTTGTCCATTTTTTTATCCCATACTGTTTGGATTGGTCCGGGTGGCCGGTCAGATCCCCCCTCTTTCTTTCTCAACGTTTTCCACAGCGGAATCGTCCTCCCTTTGGATGAATATAATTCATCCATATATACATCCATTCATGCGTGCATGCCACCCCCTTTCTTCATCCATCTCATCCAACAAAGTATTGCAAAAGTGAATGCACCACCACCCAGCTGGCAAGGCTCAGATGTTAGGATAAATAAATAAATAATATATATTAATATAATATTTGCAGTTAAAGTTTCCTTTGTGATAAATGGGACTTGGGGGGGGTGGGGGCTCTATCAAACCCTAATGTAACAAGGGTTTTGTTTCATAAATTGTTCCTTTCAGGTTTTGCTTCCCAACAAAATCAAGTAACATGCGTTTTTTTTGTAATGGAAGGAACGGAGGCGTATACACACACACACACACACAGTGCGTCCATTGTCCACATTGTGCTGAATAAAAGCTTTGTCTGGTGCTGCTTGGTTGACTGTTGGAAAAAAGAGGGTGATTGTTCCATTCAGTGCTGCTGCTGACATGGTCTTCTTTCTTATTTATTTATTTATTTATTTATTTTTATTTGTTTTCATGCTGCTTTTATGAAACCCTGAATGTGTATTGGATGGCTGATGTTTTCTCCCCGTAACAGAATACTTCTGGAGGTTTCTCAGGCTTTTGTAAGAACAATAATACACCGAGAGTGTACTTGAGGCTTGTCCCCACGTCAGGATTCTTGATTCACTGCATATTCACTGGACATTTTGATCTGTTTTGATTTTATTTTTTTAATTTTTAACATTAAAAATAAGTTTGGAAGGTGTTCATTGGCTCACTGTGCTTAGTCACACGTTATGTCATGTTATTTGCACAAACACGAAGCATGTGGCAGTTTTCCACCGGGTGATGGAGACTCTCTGAGTTTAGTTTATTAAATTGCATGGTATCTTGTTGATTTTGTTCTGCATGGTTTTATGATATCTTACTGAATTAGAAGAATGTTTTTGGACTTGAATCATGCGTCTTAGTTCATGATAGCAATGTTTTGAGGTAACATATTGAGTTACAAATGATTGTTGTACATAGTTGAGACCCTAATTATACAGGTGTATATGTATATATATATATATATATATAACAAAAAAAAAATTATAGTGCACAAGGACAGTACATTTAAGCTTGTCTTGAAGTCGAACAAGGCTTATCATTATCCTTGAATAATTAAACACACTCTAAAAATGATATCAAATCATATAAATAGATTATGTCAAGTCAAAAGTTTGAAAAATATGTAACGAAACCTTCACGATGTAGGATGGGTGGTGGGTACATATATATATATATATATATATATAGGTTGATTATTATGATGATAATTTTTTAAAATAATAATGTTTTTGAAATAAATACATCATCAAGAAAGATTGGACTAACTTTTAAGTAATGTTGTAGTACAATATTTAAAACAAATAAAAATTATGCTTTGAATGGATTGAAGGAGTTTTAGGGGTAATGTAACCTTTAAAAAAATAATGAGTAGGAAGGAATCATTTCTATCTTCAAAATTATTTTATGGTAGAGAGAGATATGAAAGGTCATCAAAATAAAGGTGTAGCAAATAGAGAAGCCACAAGGAACAATTTGACTTGAAAGTAGTATTACTGTAGAATTGTGGACTATTGTGGAAGCTTGCCTCTACCTATTATGAAGTATTTTAAGTAGGTACTAAATGTGGTCAAACAGAATAAGATTTGTATTGATTAAGTAATAAAATTGCTTATGCAATTAGTGCTCACGGTGGTGCTAATTGACTACACCTACAATATTAAGAAATGCTAATACCAAGAATTGCTTCAAACGATAAATGTTTCCTAATCCTTAATTGTTTGTGTACGCTCAACATTTTAAGTTTTGCTTCTATTTCTAAAGCTATATCCAAAATATTATAAAATCTTCTTCCCTTTCTCACACAAAACAGGATCTTCTGCAATCTCAAAGTTCATGCCAAACACCAAAATCAAACCAGCCAGCTCCCACACTCCCTTTCCAGGTTACAAAGCTACGAATGCAATGATCACTGGAAGATCTGATTCTACATTGATGATATGGTGGTAAGAGATCTCAGCAGCTCCTTCATTCAGGTAAGAAGTAAGCACTTGAACCCACAGATGTAGGGTCTCATACCTCACACATCACATTGACGGTGCCACATCAACCGGACGTTGCTCTTGGGCACAGAACAGCAACAGGCGCACCCAGAAATCAGGGAGTACTTACAGCACCAAAGTCTAACTCATTGTCCATAACGAGTGGGAGTACTTGTGCCACGGAGTCAGTACGTATAAATCAGTGATGCTGCAGTCCTTGTTACACTCCTCGACCATCGTCCTTGAGGCTATTGAAGAAGCGGGGCCAGTTTAAGCAAGTAGAAGTTACCAAGTAACAAGAATCACAATGTGCAAAGTTAACTGATCTTCTCAAGAAGTGATTATGTAATGACTAGGAATCAGTCTACCTCACCTGACTAACCTCATCAGACTAACCTTTGGTAGTCGCTCAGGCTGCTAAGTATGGAGGACAGCATTGACAATCTAACCAGTACACGATGATACAAACACTCTTCACCTATTGAAGTTGCTTTAAGAATTGCAGTCAAGTGACTCTATTCTGGGTAACAAATGAGTGTCTACAGCTCGGTATGTTTAGAGGCTCTTTCAAGAAGTCTGGAATGCCCATAAGATTCCTGGGTCACACCAGATGGAGACCAGTTGTAGGAGGCCTTCACCCCCTTGATGTTGGACGAAGGCCTCAACCACGGTGGCCCAAACTGTACGCATTCGTTCTGTGAAGCAGCCCATGGAATGTCAGCAATTGGACCAACAGTGATACGCCAGGAGTCCAGAATGATAGTCACAAGCATAGACGCTCCCAGGGCATCAACTGCCACTTGGCTCAAAGTCCAAGGTGCGCTTGGATCTTCGTCCAACCTGCAATGTTGACAAGTCAGGTGCATGTCAGAAGTTTATCTCAACATGGTTGCGTACAAGTCTAGTGAACAAGTCTTGATTAGGAACTGTGTTGAATTTTGGCAACATACATGATCACCGTACGATTAAGCTCTAAGATAAATTGCATCCTCTATCTATAAACTTATTCCACCATGTTATAGACTATTGCCTCTATTCATAGCTGATAAAGTGATTGGTTATCTTACTGCTAAGTCCCCAATGATGGTGATAGTACGGAATACCTTTTGAACATTGGAAAGCTGACGATGAAGTAGATAGCATAGAACAGGGATCCCACTTTGTAGAACGTGGGTCGGTCAACCATTTCGTAGTAAGGGAACTGCAGTTCATCATCAGATCACTAGTTATCGCCAGGACGTACGTAAAAACTAATCTTCGAGTGAAGTCACTGGGAAGCGCATACAGCAGAAAATACCAGATTCACTCAAAAAAGCACTGGAAGGGAAACAGCAAATATAACTTCTTTATCATTGTGTTGTAGATTTAAGTTGTTCGCGAAGGCCGATACATACGTGAGAGATGGTGAGAGCTTCTGTCAAAGCTGTGATGTAAGAGAGCAGCAAGACCCAACCGGCTTGGATCAGCCACCTTGTTTGTCTGTTTGATATGTTCTGTACACATGCAGATGTTCAAATCAAAATCTAAAATTATGTATTCATTTAACTCTTCACATTGATATCATTCCAATACAGTACATAGACGATGGTAAACAAAGTTGCAGCAGGCATTCATCTGAAAATGCTGAAACAAAGAGCTACTGACAACACAGATAAAGACACGGAAACAAGAGACGATGAAAAAATGAGAAAAGTACTTTAATGGCATGCTCAAGTCTTCGAAGGGTCATATTTGATACGGCATGGTACAGAAGGAAGTAAGGCTGAGTTAGTAAGAATGTGGTGATTGGGACCTGCAAAACACACAAATAATCAAGGAAGTTTTACTCTGATCGATGATTTGGGAGACTGAATGCAATCAGACTGTATGCTCCGCACTGCTGAATCTTCAAACTCTGAATCACGGATTCATACTGGTAATATTTAACAAAGAAATACCAGGATATCCACTTCATTCTCTAAAATGTTTTCAGGTCCTCAAAACTAATCAACCTGGGTATGATCATGATGTGCAAATACTCTTGATAGCAACTATAACCAGAGAGATGATGTTGAGAATGTGCATGATTCTTACATGATTGATTTTGTACGAGGGAAAAGTGTAAATGGCTCCCAGTACTGTGTAGAAGTAGTGAGTCCAAAAGTAATTACCGACAAAGCCGAAGATTGCGATCCACACATTTGCCTATCAACCTCGCAGTAAGGTACAATTGTGTAAGCAAACATTTCAAAGAGCTTCCTTCCTAATTCGGAAGAAAGCTTCAGAAACTATGTTTAATATCTCCAATATTCTGGATGACACAAATGTGAAGGACATCTGCGACGATGTTGATTTCATAAGTCGAAACTTAGCAGTCCTAAAAGGCTAAAATGCAATTCAAATAGGACATGGGAACATATCACTCAAGCAATCCTTCGTCAACAAGTTCAATGTTAAGGTGAAAGAGGTGGGGAATACCTTGAACCAATAGCGTTTGTAAAATGGTCTTTCCGCATCTTCCTGCATGGACATAATAGCAAGTACACATTTGTCGGTGGCTTACGGATCTTTGAGCTCATTACAACAATTCCTTAATTAACTAGCACAGACTTCCGCTTTAAATATATGATTCACATATACAAGACACAAGATGGATTTTTTGTACACTCTGCAAACCAATCTAATCGTGAAATTATGAAAAACTAGTAATGTAGTGCAATTGGGGGACATACCTTGCACACCACGATAAGAGGTACCAAAAAGCAGGGAGCAACAGTCAGAAGACCCAGGATCAGGTACTCCGCTTCCTGAAAACTCTGTATTCATAAGCAGTAGCACATCTTCACAGATTCAGCAATGTTGCCAAAGTAGCTAATACATCATCTTCTTGTAGGTACATAGAAAATAGAGCGAGGGATACCTTTTACCAACTGAGGACCTACCTGGAAATGTTAGAATAAACGTTGAAGTAAGTATCATTAGTGCCTAAACAGTTTACTTCCTCTTAGTGACAAGGTTGAACGGAATGCTGTAACGTTTACTGGAGAACATCGATTTCTTGTAGTTAACAGAACCCAAGTCATGGTCACGCAATATAGCGAAACTCAATGCTTCTCGAGCGTACAAAGCTTTTTAATCGCAAGAGTTGCATACTCATAATCACTTGGCAGAAAAATAACTTCCAAGTAGAACTTTGAAGATGAGGAATGAGCTTTACCTCATAGAGTTTGAGAGGGACAACGACGCCCAGCAATATTAGAATCCAAAAGGGGCTGTAAAGGAGGAAGAAAACCTCTCCCCATCTTTTGCTGGCTGAGCTGGCCAGCCAGGGGTTCGTATACTCGACTTCTGGAAAAGAAGACAATTTTCAGAGAAATACCAAGGTTATGAATGTTCTGTTACAAAGCCATTTTGAATCACCTTCTACAAAACTGATTGAGGAAATGCGAAATGAAGGGAACCTAATATGGTTCAAATCAAGGTTAAGGGGTTGAGGTGCACACTTCCAATTCATCTTCAATCAACGTAAGACTCAGCCACGCTCTGAGCTTAAAAAACGACCACATATCAATCGATCTCTGTGACTGGTGAGGACATCACAGAATGCTTCATGGCAAGGCCTGTTAACATTTTTTACATGAAGTTGATTTCGAAAGGCATTGGGAAGACATAAATGCTAACTAATACTGCTGCTGGAAAACAGAAGTTTGAACAAATTTCATTAACAATGTCACGTATGATCCACTTGTATCTACAGTGAAAGGAACAATTACCGATCCTGATCAGACCCCACTTTACTCAACTGAGCGAGGGGAGACAAAGGCAACTTAGGTTGGTCGAATGTCTTCGACAACTTCCTGAGTCGTCAGGGTAGTAACGGCTATGACGGAATCTGACTTCAAAATAAGGGTGTTTCCTCGGAGAGATAAGACCTCTGAAAAAGGGCATGCTGATGTTTTCTTTTTTCTTTTTAAAAAATTTCAGCATCAATACTTCATGACCTGTCTGATCAAAGGATCGGATGACGAACATTTGCGACTCTATACCCTACTTATCCTCATTCTTCAAATTGAGCAAAAATCCTACGACCGCAAAAGTTTGGGAACAACAAATTCGAGATGGTATACTATAAACCCTACGATGTAATAGCACGACTACCGAAATGGGATGAAGAAATCAGTTGCAAAGATCCTGTAACGCAGTCCAATGGTCATCCTTGCGCAATTTCCGAGGCAAACGACGAAGCGTAACAAACATCTCTACTCAAAAAGGTTGCGACACCGACGTACTCTGAGGTTCTACAGTTGCATTATGAGCGTCACGCTTCCGAATCCTCCACACCCGATTCTGCATATTGAAATCCCGCAAATCACACAATCCATGCTTCATCATTACAGCAAAGGAGATCCAAAGGCCGCAGAGTCAATGCATCATTAATTCCATCGGTAACTCACCTTCCATTGCTCCAGAATCACAGTCAGAAACTCACGCGAAGCGACAGTCGCAAGGCAGGACGCATTGACAAGAAACCTTGTTCGTCGCACATCAGGTATTCTTATTCTCCACGGTGAAGGGCGCCCAGTAAATCCTCGTAGCCTCCGACCTATCCCCACCCCACGAAGGCGAAGAAAACGACATGCCCAATTCATATCCTGGCACAATGACAGAAACAACATCGGTAATCGAAGCCCCTGTCGTCAAAATTGAATGCAAATAATCTGGTGACCCACGTCCAATTCCAAAACCCAACTCTATGCCCAACCATTGTCACCCTACGAAAAGCCTGCAAAAAGGCGGAATTGAGAAACCGAGAGCATTAGAATCAGTGGGGGGCCTTGGCTTTAGTTTGCGGTAGAAATTTCCCTAGTGGCTGTAGACTGATTCTTGCCACTAACCCAAGATGGGCGTTGCGCAGGGGAAGCAGAATTCCAGGTGCACTGACAATGGCCATGAGTACTTTGTGATCTCCGACAGGAATCATAAACTCACTCACTTAGTCAATCAATGTCATCCTTAACACGAATAGCATGTGTTGCAGCGTGGGATTAAGCTCCGCAATTGGCCGCGAAATGGTAATCTGTCGGAGACCATTCAATGTGGCGCTGATGACCTGCAGCTCAAGGAGGGTGTCTACGTGTGTGTGAATTACGGGGAGGGTTGGACTGAAGCCTTCAGTCTACGCTGGAGTGTACTGGAAAAAAATTGGTGGAGGTGAAGGCTGATGGCATGCAGCTATCAGTTGCATGTAAGTACAAGGAAGCAAATGCAGCGGTAGCCTGTTCATCAAGGTGGGGGGTTGAAGAGGCGTAGTCTGTGACATGTAGCGATCATGACCCTAGGACGGTGCAACTGACATCGGAAACACATGCATTCATGGCATAATTTTACTCGCTAGGCCTGAGACTCTGGCTTCTGCAGCTCTTTTCTTAGCTGAGTCCGCTGTCTCCGATACATCGCACGCTCGGTCGTGGGATTTTTCGCCCACAGATTCTTTACATCTCAGGATTTGGCCCGATTTCTTGTTAGTCGCGCTGTGTAGCTGTTTGTGGTTCGCTTCTCGAGGTGATGTTGGAATGGCTGCTTCTAGAGTCTGTGTTTCATAGCTGTACTGAGGCACTTAGAGATTGGTAGTGGAGTGGGTGAATGGCAGTTGTCGTAGTTTGAAGAATGTGAGAGGTGGGGTTTTTGTATGAGCTAACGTACATCGTGTAATCGGATACTGCCGAATGTGGTGGGGGTTTCTGCGTTCTGGAGACGATGTAACTCGTTGGAGTTTGGAAACCATGATTGACTGAGCTGAGCTTGGAGTGATTGTGTAGCGAGCGTGGTAGACATTTGCTCATCGATGACCAGAAAGATGGCTGCATGCAGCAGCTATGGACTCTCCTGGCGTCTTTACTGGGCATGTAGTTGCGTAGTTCTCGTTGCAGCATTGACGTGCTACGTCAACGTCGTGGATGCATTGCCGAGGGTTCAGTCGGATGGCCTGCTCAAAATCCAGGAGCTTCTTCGCACACCCACTGCAAAAGCTATCTGGAACATTGACACCGACTTCTGTAAGCTTCCCCCAACCTCGCATCTGTACATAAATTGCACGGGGGATACTTTGACTTATCTTAGAATTGTTGGTGATAAGAATATGGTCACTGAGAAGGAGAAGCGGCAGCTGGGTTCTGCAGGTGGCTCACTTGGACCTAAGAAGTCTCTTCCGTCGAATTTTTCTGTAAATACACTCGTGGATACACTACTGACATTCCCCGATTTGCGAGGTTTAGAGCTCGTTAGCTTAGGAATGTGGGGTTCTCTTCCTGAGAAGTTGTCTCAGCTGAGCAGCCTCCAAACCCTCAATGTAAGCTCCAATCTATTCACAGGAACCATCCCGAAGAGTCTTCATAAAATCACAGGGTTGGGAACCTTGGCTTTGGACAACAATGCTCTCGCTGGGATATTTCCCTACTGGTTGAGCGCGATGTCAAGCATTGAAACACTTTCCCTCTCCGACAATTTCTTCACCGGAGAGCTCAACGATTCAATTTCGTCTTTTAAGAATCTGAGTTCATTATCAGTGAGCAACAATTTGTTGTATGGCAATATACCAGGCTCCTTATCTTCGTTGCAAAGTCTTCAGTTCTTATCTCTTGCGCACAATCGCTTCACAGGAAACAGTCCAAACTTGGAAAATCTCAGAAGCCTGAAGACTCTGAACTTGGGCGGCAACAGCTTGGGGCCTGGCTTTCCCGCCCTCGGGACACATCTCACGTCGGTGTATCTGGGTCAGAACAAGTTGTCCGAATCTCTTCCCGATTCTCTCAAGGATTTTGGGGAGCTGCACACGCTGGATATCTCCGGAAACGCACTCGCAGACACTCCACCTGCATTTCTGTTTAATCTTCCGAGAATATCCACCCTGAATCTTGCAAGAAATCATTTCAGCGGTGTTTTGCCACTGAACCTGACACTAAGCAAGTCTCTTTCCGTACTCGACGTGTCGAACAACTTCCTAACTGGACAACTACCCCTAGTATTCCTTTCCGCCAGAAACGTGGCATTGTATTATCAGAATAATTGTATGGACACTCTCAAACAAAAGCAGGGGTCGAAAGAGTATTGCACCATCACTGCTGCGAAGCTCGGAATTGGAAGCTCGGAAGTTCATCACAGCCATCTTGTGCTTATAATCGCTGTTGCGGCTGCTGGAGGGTTGTGTTTGACGGTAGGATTATGTGGTGTGGTATTGCTTATGGCGAGACGATGCTCAATTGATAAAGACAGTGTTGCAGCACCTGAGGATCGCAACTTCGGTTCCTTTCGAGGAATACCATCGGAATTACTGTCCAATGCTAGTACGAGTCCATCGACTTTTCATCTCATTTCCTGAAAAACTTCTCTTGTGGTTGTCCATTATGTCAAACATTTCAATAACTTGTTATGAGATCATGTCATTCAGATCTCTCTTCTGCTTAAAGTTGAAGAGTGCATGACTTGCATCGTTTCTTGTGAACGTCTTCAGGGTATCTCTCACAATCGATGAGATTGGGGGTGCTGCCACAATCTCAGAACAGAGTGTTTGCTCTCGAGGAGCTGAAGGTTGCAACTAATAACTTCAGTCCAGGAGCACTTGTTGGGGAAGGTCGGCATGGCAAGGTGTGAGATTCAAACCATCGAATGTAATTTCTCTCCTTAAGAACCTGTAATGACCTACTAAGGCCCCCTACCAGGTCACATTAGAGAAGTCAGTTAGGACACAATGCACGAGATGCTGTAGCAATTATGGCTGCTGTAAATGGCATGTTTTCAAATGCACACCTGCTGAAGCAAGATCTCGTTAAAGAGTGTTCAAGATCTTTATTTTTACTACCAAGGCGAAGTTCCTGATACTTTCCTAAGGGGGAACTTTACCTGCCTTGTTTGTTAAGATAAATTATTACAACAAAAGAAACCCACATGCTGCATTAGGTGACTAAAAGCTAAAACGCGCACTGCAGGTGTACAAAGGACTCCTGGAGGACAAGACTGTTGTGGCCATCAAGTGGCTGAACTTTAAGTCCAAGGAGGACATGGCCGAATACAAGACACAACTAGAGGTTCTAAACAAGCTCAGACACCGACATCTTGTGAGCGTCCTTGGCTACTGCTCAGAGGAGGTGACGAGCAGTGTTGACGACGAAGAATTTAAATCGTTTCGTCTGTTCATCGTTTCTGATTTCATGGGGAATGGCGACCTCCGTAGTCACTTATCAAGTAAGTTCCTTCAGCAAGCAATAGAAATCATGTTCTCGTACTCTCTGCGGTTATAACGTCCTGGTATCAAAATTATTGGCAATGGGTGCAGCAAATATACAGAGAGAATCAAGTCTAACAATACATGCTCAAACCTTAGAGTAGTAAAGAGTGTTTCGGTGCTTACCAGTTAAGATGTTTGCAGAACAAATGGGGAAGGAGCCAATGGTATGGTCCCAGAGGCTTGCAGCTGTTATTGCCGCTGGACGTGGTATTCACTACCTGCACACCGGCGTTGTGCCTCCCATATTTTACAATAACTTGAAGATCACAAGCATTCTTTTAGACTCTTATATGGTAGCGCAACTTAGCGACTTTGGCTTACCAGTTCGACGGGTCTCATTCTCCATGGATGTGAGTAATCTCAAGTTTTGTTATGATCAGCGTGGTGGCTTTTGACATGTTATCAGAATTGTGAAATTTAATTTGGAGGAAATAGAATAAGCTACCATAAACCACTCAATGTGCAGTACGGGATAGCAAAATTAGAAGCAAAATAACTGAAGTCATTCAAATTGTGCCAGCTAATTTGCTAGAAAGCCGGTTTCCTAGATGTAGGTCTATATACTGGAGGGTGTGTATTGGAATGACTGTTCAGGAGCTTGACTATGACAGCTGCATCCTTTGATGCAGGTTGTCGCGCCAGAAGGGAAAGCAGGAGTTCCTAAACTAAATCATGAGGAATCTTTACGCAGGTCTTTATCATTTTCTTCTAATTATCCTGCTTCCAAACTTGTGACTTACTCGCAGTCTAAGATTGCACCCTCCTCAGACCAATGATTCTGTAAATATCACGATAGAAAACATGTACTTAAGCTGAAGAAAGTAAAATTTCGTATTTCTAGATGATCTTTTGCTTGTAGTGCAATGTGGCATTTACGACATGGAATATGTTAGCAGGCAGGAGCACAGAGATAAGCAGGATGTGTATGACTACGGAGCCATACTCTTGGAGATTGTTCTTGGTAGACCACCCACCATCAGAAATCCCTTTCCACAAAAACGTTCAGAGCTGGTAATCCCCAACCCTGCCAACGTACCGCAGAATGCTGACGTTTATTTAACATCCTAGTGTGTGTGGAAATGCATATGCACCCTCAGGTGAGAAGGCAGACGATTATAGAAAATTTCTCACCACATTTCTGTACTTTTTCACCAGGAGCGATTGACAAAGGAGAAAGGACCATCAATGGAGCTGATTGATAAAGACATCGTTGGAACATGTGGAGCCGAATCCCTCGCTACAGTGCTAGAAATTGCTGGGAAGTGCATGGTGGATGACCCTACGAGACGACCTTCCATGGAAGATGTCCTGTGGAACCTGCAATATGCCCTGCAAGTACACTCCTCGGTCAACGACGTCACAGATGAGCATGATCTGAGAAGAGAGGAGTTTCAGAAGGCACCCAGTTTCACTGAGAGGAAGCGTTGCTTCTACGACAACCGTGTCTCTGACGAGGATTGGAAAGCAGGTCCGTCTGCATCTCGTGATTTCCTCCGATAGCTCCATAATTTTCATCATCACCTTCTGGGTCCAGGCAAGCCTCAGTTTAACCCCATTCAAGCTTTTTGTCCATGAATACAGAATACGAACGTCAGCATAGTCTTCTTTGCCGATTTGACAGAGCATAGAAGATAGTAAGGGCAAGAATCTGCAAGAAAGATATTACTGGCGTTGATTAAAAAGTACAGCCACTGAATTAGATTGTCCCTAAGTCGTCTTTGACACAGTACTTCCTTCCAATAGCTTTGATGTAATTACGCATGCTGCAGTTTTAGCGAAGTTCCTAGACTTGTTAACCGTGGGGGTACTCATAACTTGTAGTTCCAAGGTCACTCCTCATACTCATCCACACTTGTTACACAAACATTGCACCCGAGACCTTGATGCTTCAGAATGAGAACGTTGTATTCAAACTTTATAATTACACAAGCGACAGATTGCCTATTTAATCGCCTTAGTCTTTATAAAAGCTCATACCGAAGTCATCGATTGCTCTTTAAAAACTATGTAGTCTTGAATCTGGTCTGTATGGGTTGTGTTCTTGGTTGCACTTACGATTGCACTTAAAGGTTTCCGTTTTAGTTGCTGTAGCGATGGTTTAAGTGTAAATTGAAGTTGAGAATTGCAGACACCCAGTTTGCACTGAGGCTTTGGTTTGGCAGGACCAAAGAGACCAGGGCGAGCTTGAATCGGAGTTTGAGGACTAGGTTGGTGAACCTTTCTAAGATTGCCATGTTTAATAGTGTCAGTGTGATTTTCGGAGAGCTGCGTTGCTGATTGGGATCGAGTGCAAGTCAAATCCGCTGGTGACCCAGTTCTGCTAGAATTTAAGTTCCGTAACCCAGTGCTATCACAGCCACTTTCGTTGTCAAGGTACCCAAAACTATGGGGTGAGATTGTCGCCCAACGATTTCATAACTTTCTTGGGGATTTGAAGCTGCGTGTGGTGGCGCTGACGATACTCGAACAAGCTCATGTGATGATGGCTTGAGGAACACGTTCCACTTCTTCCGTGTCAATGCTTAAAATTTCTTAACCATGAGGCTTTGATTCATTCCAGCTGAAGCCCTTCTGCAGTCAAATTAGTCAGAAACAAGCAAGTGGGGAACACGAAGTGATATGATCGAAATACATAATATTCACCGCCTCGAGCTTGAGGCGAATATTGATCCGACCCCCAGGATTTCCTGTACGCCATTGTTGTGAATAAGCTCTGAGAGGCAGATCATGTTCATGATAAAAAAAATATATTTTCTGGATTTTAATCTGCACACCTCACCACTTCAAAAAAAAAACTTCTCTAATCTCCGTGGATACATTCTCATGTTGCAAGTAGACTCGCAGAACAGCTTGAGCAGAAGTAATATAAGTAAATATTGTCAAATGGCAGTACAATACTTAGTGCAGCAGTCAAGTGCAATGATCTATCGTTTGCCTTCACTCTGAATGCAAATGTTGATATCGTTTGATGATCTATCGATCTGATCACAAATTATTGTGTTCAAAATGTAAACATTGTGATGAAATCGGATAGCTACGATCTCTTGCAACAAAACATCAAAATGTCAAAACTATTGTGAGTTTTCTCAAGAGTAATGTAGCACTCGGCATGTTCGAAAATCTTCAAAGGAATGGAGCGGTGTTTCTGTTTTATTCAATGCTGTGTGTAGGAATGAGTGGTTGTATTTAAAAGAAAAGTTTGCATCGTGATTTGGGCTTAACTGAATTGTACTGCATGTTATTAAACATTTTTTTTCTCTTCCTTCAAATTCTTTTGGAGCCTCCCAAGAGGAAAATATTCATTCTAGTAAAGATTATCCATTTTATTAAACTTTGATGATTGGATTTTATGAAAATATTCATTTTAGTAAAGATTATACATTTTATTAATCTTTGATGATGGGAATATAAATTAATATTAACATGTAGAATATTAACATGTAGAATATTAGTAGAACAAAACCAACAAGGGATTTCTAAGAAATTTGTGTTCTTCATTTGTGTCATTATAAAAATAAAAATTTAAAATTTAAAATAAAAAATTTATACTATCAAAAAGTAGATGAAAAATATATTTCTTTCTTTTATATTGGTCTAAAAACTTAGATTGTTTGCTAGTAAAAACAAGAAATTCAATATATTTTTTAATATTATTAAATAAAAAACCACTCTCAAAAGGTTGTAAATTTTATTTATTTATATCCAAAATATACTAAATATAAATATGTATATATATATATATATTAATCATTATATTTTACAAGATTCTATTAATATTATTATTTCAATGCCATTCTTGTCAATTGTATATTGAATAATATTTTCATGACCTATGACTATGAAGCGTATTAAATACTAATTATGTATTTACAAACTTACAAAAGTTTTTAGAACAAATTTCTATCATACTCTTACCAATTTTTAAGTCTTATATGGTTGAAAATACTATTATGAGATCATAAAAAATAAAAATATATCTTCATGTAATATATATATATATATATATATATATATATATATACATACATATATAAGAGAATGTTAAATAGATCCAATATTGATCACAAATCCAATAATGAAGAAATACATCTAGAGAATATTTTTTTTTCTTTCATGATGATTAAGATGAGTGGATGTCACGAACATACACATGTAAACTAATAATTACCTATATGATTACATAAAAGTAAATAAAAATAAGTAATTTAATAATATCTTCTATATAAGCTTCCTAGAAGCTTTATAAATACTACTTTGACTTTATAGATGTCTATAATTAATTTTTTGGATTAAAAACGTGGTCAACAAGTTGACTATGTGCCATATATATTGGTAGCTTGAAGAATAAGCTAATTATGTGGCCCACATATTGGAAAACTTATCTTATAAGCTAAGGCATGTGTCTTGCAAAATCAATACATATTAGAGGTCTTAGTAGCTCCTAATTAGATAGTATATATAGAGGCAGGAATGAAGTCTTCTTCATACTTTTCAACTTCTTTTTTGCTTCAAATCTAGATTTAAGAGACTCTAGTTTCCTTGTCTTTTGGCAATAGCCATTCTAGTTTCTTTTTAATATATCTACTACTTTATTGTTATATTGTCACTTTTCTTTTGATACACATTTTCTAAGTTTATGTAGCTTCTTTCAGTTCATGTACTTAACAAATTGATAAGAATATACTTACAATATTGGAGCTTTGTCTTCTCTTGATTAAGAGTGGATCATCTTTTTTTCTTAATAAGACATAAACATATTAGAAATTACGGAATATCTTCTTTTAATCTAATATCATTCTTAGTATCTTCTTTGTTCTCAAGTCCTCTCTTCTGCTTGTCTTGAGTGATATTAGACATTTATTTTCTAAGTATTATCATGGTACAATTTATTGAAATGAATAGTGCAATGGCACAAATGCAAGAGTAATTGAGGAAGTAAATGCTTGCAATGCATCAATTCAGTTTACTACCACGAGGAGTCACAAGAATAGTAGGAAGTAGAGATATAGATATGATTGAAGCTGCTTCAATATTTACACCCAATTATGTCCCTTCTCCCATGATAGAACATCCTTCTGGTACTAGAAAACCAAGAGTTGTCCTGCTTGAGAAGTTTGATGGCACAAGATCCAAGTTTTAAGGATTTATTAATCAAATACAACTTGTGATTGAATTTCAATCCAAAAGCTATCAAATTTTAGGATCACAAGTTAGTTTTATTAGTACACTTTTTTCAAATTCAATATTATCATGATTTTTATCTTTTTTTGAATGAAGAGATCTAATATTGAATAATTTGGAGGCTTTTTAGTGGAATTTCGATCCATGTATGGAAAATATGATACAACTTGTCTTACAACCAACAAGATTCATATTTCACAACTAAGTAATTAATCCATAATATTATATGCTTCATAATTTTAACAACTTATAAATGATATCAAGTAAAATGATATTGTACTTATTAGCTAATTTTTCTATGGATTATAAAATGAGTTAAAAAAATTGATACTGAACTTATTTGATTCTCAAACATTAAGTCAAGCAATTTATTTTATTGTGAAGTGTGACAATCAACTTTTCAAATTTTAAACTGAGAGTCAGATAAGTAGGCTTCATCATTACTATAATTCAATGGCAACACCAATACCTTCTCAATACGTACATTCAAAAGTAGAGGATATGCAAATTCATGCGGTATGTTTCAAACTTCTTACTGAATAAAAAAACACTTATCGCCATCAAGAAGGATTGTACTTATATTGTGGAGAATCTAAGCACATTGCTCAATATTGTCCGAAGAACTGACACAATTATAAAATGAGGAGTATAAATGTCAAAGAAAATAAAAATCAGAATACGAGTTTGTTCAGCTTCAATAGGAATTGTGCGACTGGAACCTTATATAATACTTAATGAAGGTCATATTCTCTCCTTAGAATCTTTTCTTTGTTTTATATTAAATATTATTTTAGGACCTAAACATTACAAAGCCTCCACTTTATTAGATTTAGGAGTCTCAGTGTATTTTTTAGATGAAGAATTTACTAAAAGACTTAGCATATCTTTAGTAAGAAAAACTAAACATGTTCATGTAGAAGTCGTAGATGGTCGTCCGTTGTATTGTGGAGATGTTATTCACAAAATCCTTTCTATAGAAATAATAACCAATGGTTATAATAGCTTTGTGGTATTTAATATCATTAGATCTTCCTCTAATTCCATCATTTTAGGTTTATTGTGGTTAAAAAAATACAACCCATGAGTAGATTGGATTTCTCATACTCTTAATTTTTTTAAAAGTATAATTAAGAGTGTAATTAATCAAGTAAAAAATCACAAGTCTAATATAATTAAATCCATGTTTGTAGATGTAAGAGCTTTCTTGCATGTTCCAAAAGAAAGACCACCTTGTGTCATTTATGCCACATCCATTTCTAATGGTGTAAAGACTTCAAAAGGCATTCCAAGCTAATATCAAGAATTTCAAGATATATTTGAAAAAAAGAATGCAGATACTCTTTTAGAATAATATCTCTATGACTGCTATATTAACCTTCAAGAAAGAGCACAACCGCCATTTGGATCAATCTATAATTTATCTCAAAATGAGTTGGCTGAATTTAAGAAGTATATTGAAGAAAATCTTGCAAAAAATTTCATATGCCATTCCAAATCTCTAACAAGAGCCTCAATTCTATTTGTGAAAAAAAAAGATGGATCATTGCAGATGTGTATTAATTATCGAAGACTCAATAAGATCACCATCAAAAATAAGTATCTACTATTTTTAAAATCTAAACTTTTTGATTAATTGAATTAAGCTAAAATCTATACAAAAATAGATTTATAAGGACCATACAATCTGGTATGCATTAAAGAAAGAGATGAATGGAAGATTACGTTTTGAACTGGATATAGACATTTCAAATATAATGTCATACCTTTTAGACTTACAAATGCACTAGCAGCTTTTCAATATCTTATAAATGATGTTTTTTTGAGAGTTTTTGGACATTTTTATTATCTGTTATCTAAACAACATTTTGATCTATTATAAGAACATAGAAGAACATGGACTTCATATTTGTTGTGTGTTACAAAAATTAAGAGATGAGGGACTCTATACCAAGGAAGAATATTATATATTCTACACTACTCAAGTTGACTTTTTAGATTATATCATTTCAAATGATGGACTTATGATGGATCTTAATAAAGTTTAAATTATTATGAATAGAAAGATCTCAAAAATGGTCTAAGATGTCTAATATTTTTTGAAATTTGCTAATTCCTATCGGATTTTTATCAAAGGCTTCTCTTGAATTCTAATTCCACTTACACGTTTGACTTATAAAGATAAATTTTAGTAGAATCAAGAAGCAAAAGCAGCATTTAAAGCTTTAAAAATAGCCTTTATTTCTTCTCCAATCTTATATCATATTCACTTTTTTAATGCATTCTTTATAAAAATGGACACATCATACTTTGTTTTGGGTGTTGTATTATTACAAATAGGAGTAGATCATAAATTTCATCCAATAGCTTTTAATTCTAAGAAATTTTGATGAACCAAAATTAATTATGAAATCCATGACAAAGAACTTTTTGTAATTAAAGATTCTTTTCAAGAAAAAAATCATTATCTAAAAGGCGCTTCTAATCTAGTCATCATGTATATGAATCACAAGTACCTTGAATATTTCATATCAGCTTATATTTTGAATCATCGCCAGGCTTGTTGGAGCATATCTTTGTCAAGATTTGAGTTCAAT